CCGGGCCTGCTCAGTTCAGGCCAGCAGCAGCACACGTTCGCGAAAGTAGACGTAGATGGTGCGAGTACGCGATGCGTGGAACTTCACCAGGACCTACGTCCCGGGCCAAGGAGATGCGTGCAAATCATCAAGGATGGATTCCGGGGAAGCATGCCAACATATGCCAATCGTCCGTTCGCAGCAGGATCACTGCGCACAGGGCCGGGCGTGCAGGGCTTGAGCGAGGGCGTCAACCAGTCGCAGCATGTCGCAGCCATCCGCCCCTTCCCCCAGGCAGGCCCACAAGCGTGCCTCAGCCTTGGGTTGCCGCAGCGCGTCACCATTGCCCCGGGCGACGAAGCCACACGGGCGGGTTTGACCGGCCCCGCAAAATGCCCACTTTGTCGCCGCACGCTCATACCGGATGATTTTCTTCGCTTGCAATGCACCCGGCCTCGCCGTCACGCCTGCCAACGTGTGAACTGTTAAACCCGGAGTTACGGGCGGGCGCCGCACTGGACAGTTGAGGTCGACGCCTTTTTTTTTTTTTCGCTCCTTTTTGCTGCTGCATGAGGATCCGCGGTCCCTGTGCACCCTATGGCTCGGGAGGGGCGGGCGCGGAGGACGGAGGTCCAGGGCCCTTCAGGTGCGGAGAGGCAAACGGCTCGGGACTGGCGGGGGTGGGGCTGCTTCAGAGGCGGCAGCGCCCAGGACGCCTATCGAAATTCAAAAAAAAATGTGGGGTATGGTTTCGAGTCCAGCTAAAGGGGTGTAAACGTCAGGGCTTTCACGTGCCGACGATGGGGTGACGAAGGGATGACGGACGGCAGGACGACAAGGGGACGACGCCAAGACGACCGGGGGACGACGGGGGGACGACCGCTGTCGCGCCGTTGTCGCACCGTCGTCGCGCCGTCGTCCCGCCGGCGTCCCGCCGTCGTCCCGCCGTCATCCCGCCGTCGTCCCTCCGTCATAAGGCCTAGTTTCGGCTTAAACTAGGCCTTGTGACGGGAAATAGGGCCTACGTCGTTTTGCCCTCCGACTTTGATGTGTGGACTAACACACGCGGCTGCTGCATGCTGCTGCTGCTGCTCTTGTGCGCGGCCCCTCGCTAAACCTACTTGCTGCGCATGGTCCCGCCGCGGATACAGCCATCTTCGCGGAAAAGCGACGCTGCAGTGATACAGTGCCTAGGCAGGCTCGGCCAAGGCGCATCGGCACCGTCTCCTGGAGCCCGGGTCGCCCGACCCGAGCCGGCTAGTTTAGTAGCAGCTTAGCCGACCAAACGGATTAGCAGGCGTAACAGTACGAGGAAAAAAACTGTTTTCGATTTTGCAACCATTTCCTTGGCAGCGAACGGCCACAAAAAATGAGGCGTCCAAGCTTCTTGCTTTTAGCCATCAACGCATTTGTGCGAGTTTCGTGTGGAAATAACTGCTACAGGCATTCACGGGCATTCCCAAAGTCTGCATGCCATTGTTATTCTGATCACCCGTATGTGCTCGTAGGACAGCCTAACCCCGTCAAACATCATTTGCATGATCATTGGCTTGATTTGTGCAGAGTTTGTTTGGGGGTGCTGGGCGCGTGGTCGCATTTTGAAAAGTGACCCCAAGCAGGCCCGGCCTTTGTATGCTTGCCACCCCATGCAAGCATGTTAAGATTGTCGTCCTGCATGCTGAATGATCAGGTGCCTCACCATGGTGTCCTGCAAAGTGTATGCGCCTTAGCGCTCTGACACGCGTGGCGTGTGCATGGGAACGGGGCACGGAAACTGAGGCCTGGTATGGTCTGCAAGGCATGTTTAGTCAAGTCGGTAGGTGGTGATGCTGATGTCCAATTGAGTTGTCATGTTTGGGCAGCCACATCTTGAAAGGGTGTTGCTCGCACAGGGCATTGCAAGCAGTAAAGTCACCGTGGTCAGCTAGCTGTTGTGGCGACAGTCGGTCACAGTCTTTGCGTGGTTGTTCTTGTTTGGGTGCCACAAGTGAACAGTCTGAACGGCGATGCGGCCATGTCGTTCCTGGTAATGTGCCAACGCTGCCATCGCACTCTTGGCCCCAGCCTCGCCCCCAAAAAAGTGTACAAAAGGTCAGACAGTGATGGCAATAAACGGCCTGTGTGATTTTCAAGAATTGCTTAGGCTGATCACCGTCATGCAGCGAACAACCCTGCCGGCTGTTCTGCCTGATCACGACCCAGCTCTAGAGGCTTTCACTTGGGTACTCGTCGTTCATGGCAACATTGCAAGCAAAGCTATGTGGTACAGTGTCTTGGTTTGGCGAGGAGTACACATTAGAAGCCAACAAATGCCGCTCAGTTGCAGTATTTGCAGTTTGGTCGTCAGTCCTTTCTTCGCAGTTGTGGTTCGCAATGTGTGTTTGGCTTTGTCCGCAGGTTCCACTGGTGAGCCGCTTTGTGATCGAATGCGGACTTGCATGGATTCTGCCGCGCGTCAAGTACTAGCAGCGGCAGCACAAGCCAGAACAAGTTGCCCGGCAGTCATTTGGCTGTGCCGATGTGGGCCGCACGAAGCCATCTTTGTGAATCAAGCAAAGTGCCAGTAACTGATGGCAAGTTTGGGCTTAGGTTCGGAAGCGAAGATGTTTGCCAGGCGCGGACCTTCCAGTACAGCCGGCCACTGCGGCAACTGTGTTGTGCAAGAGTCGTTCAAGAGCCACGAGTGCTTGAAAGGAAGGCCTCATCGGGCATGTTGCCCTTCATGGTGATGACGCCTTCAGCAAGAGCCTCGGACAGTGGCAGCAGTTGTTCATGTCCGCTGCGAGCAACAGTCCAAACGAAGGAAACCGGTGCCCGTAGAAGCGAAGCTTGCTATGAAATGGGAGATGTTAAGTCAACATACGTCAACCTCCACACAGAAGACCGCACAGAGTCCCACTATTTCGAGAGACCCCTGACACGCAGAGAGTCGTCCCCGGAGTGCCCACCCCCAGTCCCGCTGAGTTTCCTTGGTGTGCCTGCCTACAGAAAAGCCCCCAGAATTTCCCTTCGGCAGAAGTCTGAAAACCTGTGGTGAAAATGTCGTAATTCCCTGTCGCAATAACGGCAGGATGCCCACATCAGGAAGCTGTAGGGTGGTGATGGTCGAAGTCATAATCATCATTGTTACTCAGTTACTAACTAGGTTTTCGAGGAATTCAACCTGCAATGTGTTTAGCCCCTCCCAAAAACACAAAACACAAGCTCAGATGTCGACGCTTATTACGTTCCATGAACGACCAAGAGCTTGTGACAGAACAACCTTAAGTTTGAGACAGTAGCATGACTGATGGCGATGGCTATGGCTAGTATTTTGCAGCCCCCTTTTTGTGTACTGTTGTACAAGCTCTTTGATTTGTCGTTGTTCTCTGTTCAATATCACAAATGGGTTCGCCTTCCGCAGCCTTGTCCGCAATCTACTTGATCACTATCATTCTCCGTTTTCTTGTAGTTCATTCCCTTGAGCACCAATACCTCCGGCGGGCGTCTCGGCACCAATCGGTTAACCCTTGACCCGCCAATGCTCTGTCATCCGAGTTTAGGATGAAAACTCTAGTTGTTTTGGTCGTTGCTCCTCCGGCAGCTCAGCGCCCAACACCAATCTTCGTCTGCTGAAAGTTCGCGCAACAAAGCAGTCGCATGTAATGTTGTCCTTTTCATCAGGCCTTGTAAAGTAAACGCGTGCATGTGTGTGTGTGTGTCGTTGGAGCTGATACTGTATGGTGCGTGCGCGTGTGCGAGTGTGTGTGTGTGTGCATCGTTGTAGCCGAGGTCTTGTTTGGGCGCGGCTGCAAGAAATGTGAAGTGGCAGCGTTTCTCGGCATTACGTGCCCAAGCTGCCACTAGATGCCAAATGAACTGCATGCATCCTCCCAAAGAAATCGGCGGAGGCATAGTGCATGTAGCCGCACCGCCATGAAAAAGGTTGAGGGTTGACGTCCGACAGATGAAAAGCAACCGAGCGATGAGCACAAGTGCCACGAAAGAAGAAGATTCCATTGGTTGTTGGAGAAGCAGCCAGGCCTCAAGGCGACGAGCATTGGTTGGCCACTCAGTGTACATGTGCTTGTCTACACAGGAAGTTGCCTGATCGACAGGCAGTCGCCGTGGCCTTTTTGGGTCCTGTTCGCACCTCAAGAGAGGACCCAAGGCCTCTGCCCGACGTGCCGGGAAATATGTACATGTGCATTTGCGAGGTTGTGTTGACTTTCGTCATTCCAAACGGGCACGAGCACCAGGCCAAGTGACCGCCGAGGGCTCTTTCTTGCTGGGCCCCATTGTGACGTGTTGTCAGGAGGTGGCGTCGCGAAGAAGTGCGGGCCTCAGCTCTCGGGGCCGTTCAGCAGCATGTGTGAAGTTTGCAGCTTGAGAAGGCATCCTTGGCGCCGTAGCCGCTTCACCTCTGCTCTTGGGTGCAGTTGCTTGCCTGCAACTTTGGGAGGAGTAGTTGGGATGGCCATTAGTGGAGTCATGTTAAGGCCATGTGACAATGTGCGTGGCAAGGCTTTACCAACCATGGCCGCGGAGACCCCAAAAAAGCTGGAGGTGCACCGCATTTGTCAAGCAGTTTTGTGGCATCATCAGCAGCTTGCAAGATGTTGGCATGCAATTTGCTTTGATTGTGCAGGCCTACGGTCTCAGGGGCAAGCGGGCAAAAGACGTCAATGGCACGTAGCTGAGTTTCGAATTCCCTCGCATGCTCGACCAGAGGCTTTCGCTCAGGTCTGTGGAGCGTGTTCCCGGATGTGAAGGCATGAATTCTGAATATGCGGTTTCCACATATATCTGTGGAACTTCTGTGGGCACGACTTAGACAACAGGTCAACGGCAGAGCAGTCTACAAAAAGGCAGGCATGCATTGGGCTTCATGTCTTTCGGTGTTCTACCGTGGTAGTCGATTTGCTGCAGAATGCAGGATGACGCCGACATCTATCTCACGTACAACAACTGTCAGCAGTTTCAGTTTGCCTGTCCTGTTTGCCAACCTCTGCTTGGAGGGAAGGAATGCCGTTTGAACCAGGATGGTGAAGACGCCAACGGGCGAGTGTGACGGTTTTGGTTTGGAGTGCGACCCTCACGATCTTGCTCATGCCTGCAGCCTCTCTCACCCCCGTGCCCGCAAGTTCACCCCAAGATTCTGAATGTCTCCATGATGTCCCATGATTCCAAATGATTGAGGTACAAAGGTGTATGGGAGGTGGATGGTGAGGACACCAGGCTGAAGGTGAAACCCTACCAGACCAAAGAAGACAGAAAAAAGGCTGCACAGCCGGCGCCCCGGTGCCTGCATGGCGCGCCACCATGTAAGTTTTAAGTAGTGTTTCTAAAAAACCATTGCCCTGTTCCGAACTTGTGTGTAAGGCAGACTGCTGAGTCGTGAGCTAAGTGAGCTAACTCACATGTCTTTCAAATCCGGGCGGCAGCTAGAGGTCAGGTTTAGACCAGAATAAACGTCGAGAGAGCAAACGTGCTGAGATCTGGCGGCGGTGGATTCTTTCAGATCCCCAAAATTGAGCCCCTCATCGGCAAGAAAGAGCAGACGGATGAGGACCTTCTGCTCAATGGTCAAGATGCGGGCAGCCAAGATCGACAGCTTTAGATTGAGCACAGCGGTGTTCATCAGGCTTCTGCGTAGGCTTCTGCGTAGTGAACACCAGGTCAACGAGTACATCCGCAAAAAAACCAATGCGGGGACCTTAACTTGAAATGCTGCTGCCTCTGAAATGCACACCAGTGCTTGTCAGGGCATCAATGGGTGGCAAGATTACATGGCCAGTGTGATGACCTTGGAGGACGAGGAGTGCGTGCCTGAGATCTCCAAACACCATTGCCAGCAGTGGTATTGGTATCGGTGAATGTGGTGGATGCATGTGGATGCTTTGCTGCGTCTCGACCGCGTCTCGAGGTCCAAGATTGCTGACAGCCTTGAAGCCAGGTTGAATGCCAAGCTGGGGGAGCGGGACATTTCCAAGGTCTCTTCCAAGGTAGCTCCCAAGCGCGCTTCGCGCTGATATGATTGTTTAAAGCTTGAATCTACAACATAGTGAGATGAGTTTCAAAGCGGGTGCTCACAATTCTGGTGGAGTGATGCAGGCTCGATTCGTAATGCAGTTCGAATGAGCACCCAGCTGACTCTCACGCGGGATTTTTTCATACAGCATGACTGTTCTTGTGCCAAACGTGGTCTGCGCAGCACTCTTGACGTCCAAAAGCTCAACACTGCTTCGGAGAAAAGTGGAGCAACTAGCGTTGTGCTGCCAAAGCGCTGCTGCTCGTGGAAATGCCAAGTGGCCGTGCTCAAGCGATCCAAGTGATGTAAATGTATATGCCGACGGTACAAATGCTGATGCGATGGTCGGACAAGCCTCATCCGGTAGCTCCCTTCCCAAGATTTATACACCGATTAAGTAACAACACCAGTGGTACAGATGATCGACGCCATGGTGCCCCTTTTTCCCTAGAGGCAGGACTGATGAACTGGTTGGCTGATCGTGATTTGTTTGCGGGTCGGAAGAGTGCTTCTGCGAACGCTGTAAGACTGTAAGATTGACAGGGCACAGGATTGCAATTGCATGGCGTTGCAATCCTTGGAGTCATGAGCCATCCCAAGATGTGAAGATGAAATCTTGTGTCATGGTGTTTGTAGGCAGTTATGTGCCCAGGGTCTCTCAGGGTCTTCTGTGAGCACATCCAGAGGCTGCAACTGTACGCAAAAGACCTGGTATCAAGACGATACGCATTGAGCAGCTAGCATGCGGATCCTCTTTAGGTGGACACGACAGCAATGTGAGTGCATTGTGAGTGCATCTCAAGAGCATCGCAAGTGCAATTTTGGCAAATGTTTCGCAGACCTCGGCTTTGGAGAATCGAGAGCTGCACCATGGCAGAAGAGGCTACGATGCGCTACGTTGCTCCCTTTTGTAATCCGCTGTGTTTCCGACGGCAAGACGCGCGCTCCAAGTTGGCCGTTGCGATGTACAGGTGGCAGCAGATAATGGCCCTGGTCTGATGCCAGAGGACAATTTCCATGTAGCCACACATGCGTCTGCTAGGAGGGCATTTGGGGCTTTGAGAACCAACTCTTCTGGCAGAAAAGCTGTCAAGGCCCTTATCAAGCTTGTGCAATACGGCATTGCTTTGAGTCCTTTTAGGCCATGAAGATGGGGGTAGTGAAATTGTTTCGTTCAATCAAAGCATTGAAGCTTTCGTCGAAGCGTTGCGAGCTTCAAGACTTTTGCCGGCTGTGCGGGCACCGTTCAGTGCTTGGAAGCACCTGCGCGTCTTTTATATGCCTGTATGGGGGGGCGGAAAGAAGCGTGATGCGGCGTGTAAAGAAGCATGAGGCGTTAAATGGCTTCAAGCGTAAGGAGTTTTAGGAGAGTGGAGGAGGCCCCAGCAGGTATTCGCACGCATTCAGAGGCTTAGGCTGGCTTGAGGAGGTGTTAGGGTCTGGCCGATGTCCGATTTCACACCGCCCTGTTTGCAACGGAGTCTAAGGGCCTGGAATTCTCAGAGCTTCTGCTAGCTTAAGTTCTTGGTTGCTGACACCAGCAAAAGCAGCTCAAGGATAGTGACGGTTCGATTTGAGTGCTGCTCTGTGCTGCTTTTCCTTACCTTCGATGTGGGGTTGTTAGATGTTAACTCCTCGCTCGGTGTCCCACCCGGTCTCCTGGCCTAGTCCCTGGTGCCCACATTTACAGAGAAGCCCGCCAAGACCCGAAAGAAGCCCGCTGAGAGCTTTTCAGAACATTCCTGCAGCAGGCTACAGAGAGTCCGGCCCACTCCCAAAGAAGTTCGCCGACCAGAGAAGCTTGCAGAGAGTCCTGCGACAAGCCTGCAGAGAAGTGTCATGAATTGTCCGAGCACGGCAGGATGGCTCCCACACCGGGTGCAACTGTAGGGTGGGGATGAACGAAGTAAATACTTTTGCGAAGCTTCGAAGATCTTTTGTTCCCTACCCTCGGCGTGGGGTTGTTAGATTTTAAACTCAACTCTTCTCCTCCTCGCCCGGTCCCTGGAGTGCCCAACGCCAGAGTGTCCCTGCAGTGCCCAACCCCAGAACGTCCCAAAGTGTCCCTGGAGTGCCGTATCTCTACCTAGAGAGGGTGGGGATGTTCGAAGTGAATATTTTTTCCTTATACTTCTGTTCAGCCTCGAAATGCTTCTGTACGTACGCCTCTTGATTGACACCTTTGGAAGCCTTTCCAAGCCTAATGAGTGAAGCACTTGCGGCCGTAGCCTATGCCGTATCAATCCGTTCCCAACGTGCTGCTGACTTGAGGCTTCAACATCTTTGATATGATCCGCAAGCCTTTGTGTTTCCATGAGAGAACACTTGCGTAAACACGTAGAAAAGATACCCAGGTGACGGTAGCACCAAGCACTGCTTAGCATTTTCTGACTGGCATTGCAGCCTCGGCGTTGCGCATGATGTTGCAGCATGGGGTTGAGGCGGTTAAGCAAGATCAACTTGGATCAACGTGCTGTGGCATGTGACTGCCTTTGTCAAGATGTACAAACGATGCGATGCGTTCACTGAGACAGTCTGAGAAATTGCTGCCGCTTACGTTTCGTGTGCTTTCCGCAGGACATGCCCGCAGCGGAGGCAAGTGCTCGTCTTGATGCTTGCAGAGAGAGAGAGAGAGTCAGAGATTAACAGCAGAGCAGCAACAGAGAAGTTGTGGTTGACAAGGATTCTGCAGATGAGTACCCCGAAGATGCAGATCAGCAGGGAATGGAGGCCATTGCCTCGGCAGAGCGTATATCACATCACTTTGAAACGCTCCGCAGAGACAGAGAGAGTCGTGTTCAAGAGACACAGAGAAGAGATCTCAGGATGAGGACTTTGAGGAGAGCTCTCAGTTGATTCACGCCTCTGTGGGCGCACGCCTGCATCTGTCACCGCCATTTTTCCTTGTGAGATCTCACGGAAACTCATTGCATTGCACCAGGAGGAGGAGCCCGAAGACGACGAGGCAGCGGCGTTTTTGCCTTACATGACTCTTCGCCTTGGTGTTTCAGCATGTTTCAGCTGCGAGCTGCTTTCAAAGCTAAGAACTCCCAACATGCGCAGTGATATAGTCTTTGTGCCGTTCGAGTGACATAACTGGCCTACGGCAGCCGTGCGATGTGTGCCTATGCAGCAGGAGCTCCCGCCATGTCTGGAATCCCAGTGCTTTTAGATGTGAAAAGCTGCTACAGTGCTACAGATCTTGGTTGTTGGATGGTCGAATTTGATCGTGAAATATCGTGAAGGTGCCGGCGATGCTGACCTGAAGGACTTGATCCTCGCACGTGGCATCACATGGTTTGCAATGTGTTCCATGTCTGGAATGCTGGAAGATCTGGCGGTCCAAATGAGGACGACACTCTGCAGGTCTTGGTGGACATTTCTGAAGCACAAGGTGTGAACGTCATCTGTCGATCACCAACACGCATATCATGTCGCGTTGCAGGGTTCAGCGAGCCGAGCAAGATGCCTCACCAAAGTGGGGACTTTAGATCTGTCTCAGAAGAACGCTTTGTTCTGCACCGGAGCTCTTGTTGCATCCAGGTGGTCAGCGTGGGCGCGGTGCACGTGCTCGTATGGAGGAAAGACGGGTCAAGGGATCTTCGTCAGGGTCAATCGAGTTTTGTCTGCGGTTTGCAGGGTGGGCCTGCAGATGCACCTGCCTCAGCAGCGAAGCTGTTAAAGTCGGCAAGGCAAGTGTGCATGCAGTGTGTTTGGATATCTTGGAGCATCTGATTGGAGCTTCTTCTTTACCAGACCCTTGTGGGCTCACGTCTGCACCTATTGAGACGTCAAAGCTGCCAGTGCAGGGACCCTGTGAACCAGAAGGCAGGCACAACTCAATGATCTGAGAGAAGTAGATCAGGGGCCATGCTCCACGCTGCCATGGCCAGCCGCGGCGTGCTGCCCCTCCCAGACAGTCGGCTGCAAGCAGACCGTACACTCATGATGAGATCTGGGAGCTGAACGAGCTCATTCATGGGGCCATGCCCGCAAGGTGAGGGGTATCCAGAAGGGCCAGGCGACCGAACATGTGAACTAGCGTGCCTGCCTTCGTGCGGGCTGTCAATCGCTGCTAGGTTCATGTGTCCTCGCCTTCGAGATCCGACCACATCAACAGCAGATGCAAGTTGCCCAGAGGCCTCAGCGTTCGGGGCCACAGTAGGCACTGCAGGTATCAAAAACGCGACTTGCGCGGTTTGGTTTGGCCACAGGTGTGCTGGCAGGCTCTTTGGCCACACTGGCAGCTCTAGCCCCATGCAGCGCTCGCAACCGCGAGGGGCGCTGGAGGCGAGCGGGCACATACGTCGGTGAGTAGAATGTGCAGTATCTGCGGACCGCGGCCTGCGATTTTTTCGGTGCTTTTCCAAGCATATATATATATATACACATATATAGATATGTGTGTATGTATTTCAAAGAACTGTTTAGATACATATAAAAAAAAGAATGCACACATATACTGCATATACTTGTTAAGTTTATCGGGCTGAGGCGGCAAGCGACCGTCTGGAACTTGACTGTGCCATAGTATGGGGAACTGCGCAGTGTCCAAGTGGTCGTGACAAGGCCAGAAGGAGAGCTTCCTTCACTGCAGATGATGTTGGAAGCTTACGTGCATGTTTTGGTGCCAAGGCCATGGCTGAGAATTAGCGTGCGAGCAGTTTTCAGGTGGTAGTTGTATATGATCGCAACTCAAAGCAAGCTGGAGAAGCTCCAGCCTCAGTTGCGAAGTTTCCTCTCCCACGGCTCCGTATTCCACAATTTTTCGACATCTGTCCGGCAGCACTGCATGAAGGTTGTGGTCGCAATCGAGGAGGTTCCTCAAGTGGATTGTCGTGCGGATTCTCTGCCACATAAACTTGTGTTTCAGTGCAGGACAGTGCCATGGCTCCACGTCCGGTGGCCTATGCCATTGTACCTTCGAGCGTTGTTCGCTCAGTATGATTGCATGCAGTTTGGTAGGCGGGTGACAGCACGAGTGCCAAGGATAGTTCTGCACTGGTCGAGCTGGCCAGGCATCCTGCCAAAGTTGGGCCATGTAGGGCGCTCCAAATCCGCAAAATTTGTTTTCAGAGTGTAGATCTTCGGAGGCAGCGGCAGCTGAGTGATGGCTGCATGGAGCGACTTCAACGGGATGCTTCTGCTTGTGCTGTACTCCCTGGGGGAGCCATGATCGAGGACCAGAATATGCAGCTGGCTGTCATATGGTAACGCTCCCGCTGTGCTCCCACCATGCTCCCGCCATGCTGCCGCCATGCTTCAGCCATGTGGTGCTTCCCACATCTCGGCATTCGGCATGAGCTGGAGCCGTTCGTTGTTCTCACTTTGCCCCCATCTCTGCCCGCAAAGACTCTGGCTCTCCAAAAGCATCAAGAAGCCGTAGCCGCCGCTTAGCCTCCGCAGCCAAGTCTTTCTGAGTGCTCTTTGCCGAAGATGGTGTGTTCTGAATCCTTGCAAGAGCCACGGGGCTGGTCACTGAAGCTTGACCTGAAATCCCAGCTTTATTGAAAGGACCCTGGGTAGTTTCCGTTGAAAATTACAAGTCTCTTCTGAACAGTGTATAGGGTCCTACCAAGCCGTTGTTAAGATGCTTTTGAGGACAGAAAAAACTACCCAACTACCCAACTACCCACCTGAGGAAGCTTGGTCATCGCAAGCGCCTGCTTCGCGCGCATGAGGAGAGCCTTGACAGCCTTGAAGGCCTCCAGGGAGGCCCGGGGCGCTCTACAGTCAAGCGCAGTCTTCACAATGGAAGCCGACGACGCTTCGACGACCCGGCGTTTGTCGGAAAGTATGGCAGTGATTATAAGATCCACACGCGCCGAAACCTTCTCCGGAAGCACATGGTTGCCGATCTGATGGACATGTATGATGAGATTGTAGCCGACGAGGAGTGGAGCGAAGATGAATGGGTTGAAGGGGATTGGCTTGAAGACGACGACACGCTTTCAGAGAGCAGTTTCTACACTTGTGGGACAGCATCCACGGCAGCTTCGACTTGCGACCAGTCTCGGTCTCTCGAAACGTCCACCAAGACTGCCAAGACTTCCAACCGTTGGGACGAAGCTATTGGACGGGCCAGCATGATTGCCAAGAAGCAACGGTGACTGCGTCAAGTCCATGTTGTTTTGTGGTACTGGGGCCTTTGTTCCGAATGTGTTGTTTTGCCCATTTGTGCATGACTGCATTCTTTGTGCCTCTGGCAACACTCAGGTACACCAGACCAACAAAGTCCAGTGTCGTTTCGGAGCCGACGAAGAAGCAGAATGCTCCACACAAGGAGCCGGGTAGAGCTTAGAGCTTTGGTACGCTGTGCAAGATTGGTTCGCCTTGACAGTGTCTTGCGAAGTCAGTATTGCTTCCTTGCAGGCCACGACGTTGACGGAAGTTCTTAGAGCCAAGCACAACATCAAATTGGTGTCACCGGGTTCATCTGACAGCCAGCACGATTCATTGCAGAGATTCCAAATGGATTTTTTGGAAAGATTCCTGCCAAGCATCAGCTCCGGACTGCGAGGTGTGTTCCGGAACGAGATCGTGCTTCGAGCCGCCTCCACGAGCAAACCTGTGTACGATCGCTTTTGCAGGTCGCAGACCCAGAAGCAAGGCAACCTCTGTGCTGTGTTTCATGGCACGGACCAAGCCAACTTGCCGTCAATTTACGAGAAAGGACGGGCTGCACCATACACCAATGCAATGACGAGACTTGGGCACAGTGGTCACATGCTTGTGCCGTGCATTGACAGGACTTCTCGTTCCGGGAGGTGGCAAAGGTGTAAGTGTGCGCAATGGCGCCTCACATGGCAACGGCATCTACACGGCAAAGACGCACAACCCAGCACTGTCATTTGGATTTTGCCGTGGCGAAACGAGGCCGATGTTGGTGTGTGGGGTGCTAGACGACGCGGTCGCACTCGCCAGACCATATAAGCTTGGCAACCACACTGTTACTGCAGAGTCGCAGCACGTTCGCCGCCTGGCAGGTATATAGTATAGGCTGTAGAACGGGGCTTCTGATGCCTTTCAGTGAGAATGGCAGACGTGATCCGGACTTTCCAAGGTCACGTTGGAGATGCGATTGTTGTCTTTGACGAAAGTCGAGTTGTCCCTCTTTTTGAAGCCTGGGAGCCTGGACTTTGTGCGAACTATGCCCCGATTGTGCCGCCAGCTCGCAGCCCAATCATCCCAGCGGTTGTGGCACAACTTCGGCCTGCTGTGCCAATCATGCCGACGCACCCTGCCCGCTTCGTATGTGAATGTTGTGTGTTCCTCATGCCCGCGGTTGTATGGCTTGTGGCCTTGTGGTAGCAGTGTTCGTCCACGTTAGTCAGTTTCTGTGCGCTTGAATTGGTGCCCCGAGGAAATCTTATAAGGGTGGGCCGAAGACCCGACTCCCACGGAGCCGTGGATCGCAAGAGCGTGGATAGTGTAATAGTGTGGCAGACTCCTGTGTCTTGGGCTCTGTGCAACTTCGCGCAGCAACTTCGTGCAGCTGCCCGATCATTGAGGTCAAGGAAGCCAGCAACCAGGGAGGAAATGGCCGTTGCGTATCTCCGGCGACGGGGAGCACGGATCCGGTATACAGGCGCGCAGCACGTTATAGCCTAGAGCAGTGAACGGTACGTGGCCATGCTTCATGTTGAGGGTGACATTCTGCTGGAGCTGCCCGTGACAGCAGTGCTATTCTGGAGTGAACACATTGATCTTCGGGCTTCTGAGCTTTCTTTTCTTAGGAGTGTTTTTGTCGATACCTGTTCGGCTTTCCTGCCTGTTCTGCAGTGTACAGATTGGCAGCTTGGCAAGTACCTTGGGTGCCTGCTGGCTGCGTGGTGCAACGCTGCCATTTGGCGGTGGACCTATGTACAGTGTACAGGACTCAAAGCAAGCCACAAATCGTGCAGAAATGAGAAGGCCGGGCAGCGCCAAGGCAGTTCCCTGCTGTCCTTTCTAGACGAGAGTTCCGGTGGCTTCCAGCCGTGCCGATCGCGGGGTTTCACCGAGCTTTGGGAGAGTGCATCATCTCGCACCTGCCTGCAACGCAAGGACCTGGAGATGGACCCATGGCCTTTGTTGCGGGAGCTGCGGTATCGAACCTGTGGTTCGGTTGCAAATTGCACTAAAACCCAAACCAAGTCTCGGCCAAAAGCTGGCCGCTAGAGCCGTTAGAGCCGCCAAACGCGCAGGTCTTGAGCACCCCAGCGAGGAAGACCTTGAAGAGATGGAAGAGGCGTACTTCCGCCCTCTCAGGCAAGGGGGATACTTCCGGATCGCCCCTGCCCTGTGGCTGCACCTGCCGAGCAAGGTCATTGAAAGCTGAGTGGTGGAAGCGGCCGGAGGCTTGCCACTTGGGGGCGTGATTAGCAAGACACTCGCACAGCACAGTGATCGCAGGCATTGAGATCTCTGGCCCAGCAGCTGGACGAGGTTCCTTGGCAAGCATGGCCCAATTCACGTGGGTGTAAGAACGTCGAGTGTGAATGAGTGTGAAGCAAGGTCGGTTTTATCTTGATTGACGACTTCCTGCCCGACGAGGTGATCAGACGAGTCAAGGCAGGGCATGGCAGGGCTTTTCAGAGGATGCGCCACACGCTCTCCATTGCATGCGTTGCATTGCGTTGCTCTCACAAGGCCAGCAACCTGGACCTGTATCAGGGCTCCGAGATGCAGTTGGGGGGCACAACCGGTGGTGTTCACCTCAGTATTGGCTCTTTGGATCTCTTTGGTGCGAGTGGGATTCCCTGCGGGAATGCTTTCGCTTGCGGTCTCGTGCCGCTTGGGCCGTCATGACAGGCATGTGCCTGAGAGGCACGCCATGACTGCGGCAAGGACTCGAAACATGGAGGTTATTGTTATGAGGCAGAAACAGAACAAAACGGGTTCACGAGAAGAATAAAAGATGCCCTGTGGTAGTGTTCTTAAGAGTCAAAGTAAAAAGGTTTATTCATTTGATTTTTTGAACTTTTGCGTTGAAACTGTAGATTGCCATGTCTTGTTGGAAAGAAAACCAGCTCTCTAAAAATGAACGGGTGGGAAAAAAAAGTCATTTTTCTTCAGACTTTCTTGCACGTTTTGAGCAAAAAACAAAAAAGCCAAGGTCTGGGCACACTCCTTGAGGCCTACCGCTCCATTGCCACGGCAACACCCAATCGAAGGAGTCAGCCAGTGTTTTTTTGACGAAGTCCCAAAGTCCTGCCAAGCTCAGATCTACGGCTACGGCATGCTACGACTGTACATAGGGCTCACTGTTGGGCGGGGCCGCGGAGAGCCTCACCTCTTACTTTGTGTGCTTTGAGCACTGCAGCAACAAACCCATGTCACTCGGATGTTCGTGGCTCCCAAGAAGGTGTATTGCCGGCTGGGTGCTTTTCAAGGGCTTTTGAGCTTTCAGGGTGCACTCGGCCCGAGTCGAATGACCTGATCTGCTCAAGCGCCTAGCAAAAACGTCCCGCACAAGGCTTCGCGGGTCAAAGAAAACCCTTCAGCTAGAAGGCCTCTGACAACGACTTGGAATCCGGGATCATGCATGCATGAATTCACATGAAAGCATCCAAGAGCAGCGCGTGCCACTGGTGGAACTGTAGATTCTGAAGCTTCGGCTTCGAAACTTCGAGCCTCATTGGGAAACGCGAAGAATGCGGGGCTTGGCAAGATACGGCTTCGGACTTCCATGCAGGACAATGCAAGGCCCCAGGGGGTTACTGAGAATCCTCCCCCACTTGTCCTGGGAGGATTCGCTTGGCGCAGTTTAAATTGATGCAAAAAAATCTCGTGAGCTCTGGGGTCACTGTTGAGATCGTGGATTTGGGTGGGGGGCGGGGCAGAGGGGGGGCCAGAGCCGCCTCCTCACTCCCCAGGTAGTGATCGAGTGGGAATTGCCCATCGTGAGCGGCCCAATCTGCCGATGGCCAGTGCGGTGCGATTGCATGCGAACATCAGCCTATCCTGTGCAGCAATCAGGTGGTGATGTTTTGAAGTGGGTGGGCTACGACAAAGAGAGTGAAGCAACTCGCTGTGCAGCTGAATTCGCCGCGCGCGCCTTGGGCAGCCACTCATCGTGAGCTTGCCGTGTCAAGGAGTCCTTGCATGGTTGAGGCCCACATTGAAGAGGTGATCGTCGGGTTATGTCACAACGCCAAAGATGTGGTGCCATCTGTATCATCGGCACTAGAAGGCATGGTCATGAAAACAGATCTGTAGAACCGTTTCAGCTGGTGCTTGATGGAATGTGCATATCATGAGGTGTACAATGGCGCTCAGAAACGATGTTCACTTGTTATCCGGCCGAGAGCCGTGCCCGTCTCCAGCCAGCAGTGGGGGACCACTTAATTTGGGCTTCACACTTTCTGCTGGCGGCTGTTTCGTGAGTGTCAAGGATACTTTCGACACACAGACAATTCCTCCGGCAATGGCAGACTACTGACAGCTCTGGTCTACCTGAATGCTGCCACCTCGGTGTTGCGGAGCGTGTCAATGTGCGAGTTTCATGTGGGTCCCACGCAAGGAGGACTGGCAGCGAGGTGATGGCGGTGAGCTCCGGTTATTTCACCCAGGCCTGCCCACGATGTACCGATGGCCAGAGTGTTTTGTAGACGTGGCTCGCGCCTTGTAATAGGCGAAAAAAACTTAAAGGCTGGACGCTCAGACATGCGCCGTTGACCATTGGGGGAACTACCGGCGACGGCTTTCTAAGGTTCGGATGGAGATTGCGCCATTGTGGAACCGCTTGCTTCTCTTTTGGTCTGACGACCGTAGTCCTCATGAAGTGCTTTCAGCTTGCAAAGATCGCATCTCGGATGATCTCGGATTCCAGTTCTGTCGCATATTTCAACGCTGGGCCGGTGCCGGCAGTGGCCTGCGTATCCCAGGCTTTGCAGCGACTGTCTGGTACTACGACGAGAAGAACCCCAGCATACCGCTTTATGCGTCTTGTCTGTTTTTACAGTAGAGCTGCAAGGTTTTTGACAGTTCCGTGAACGCACAGACAATGTCGAAGGAGGTGGGTGACCCGGTTGGTGATGCAGGTGTCGCTACGGCTGTGTTTGCAAATCTTGCGTTTCTCCACTTCACTCCGAAGTGTGTGTCAGGAGCACCGCCTCCGCTCATGGAGAAGCCAGCTAAGGAAGCCAAGGAAGCCAAGGAAGGCAAGGAAGGCAAGGAAGCCGAGGAAGCCAAGGAAGCCACCAGGTCGAAGGGGTTGGGCATCCGAGGGGCTGCGCCCCCGCCGCCAGCGAAAGCTTCCACACCAGCCGAGGGGACCAGTGAGCCGGGTGACAAAGCGGGCAGCCTAAGCAGAGCTGCAGCGCCGCCAGCCCCAGCTTCCCCAGCCGTGACAGCCCCAGCAGAAACAGGTCCCGCGGAGGAAAAGGACGAGGCAGAGTAGCGATCTGGGTGTTTGGAAAGTTTTCGGAGCTTCGAGCATATCATGTACACTGTACATAATGTACAAACGACAAGGACCCTCAAGTCATCGTTTTCTTTGATGGCGAGAACAAAGAGATCTTGGAGCGCCATGGTTTCATTGCATGTTTGGCCATGCGGCGGCCCAAAGTATGTTGAACTAAGGCTGCTTGACACCCTGAACCTCGACTCTGCCCGAAGCATCGATGTTCGATCGCCTTTGGCAGAAGAGGCACCACACGGCACAGTGGGAGTGGCTCAGAAGCCACACGAGCGCCATTTATGAACTTCCACTTCTTTCTCCTTCCAGACTTCAATGCCCATCATCACTCGGCCCCCTGAGCCCCAGCAGGAGATGCTTGACTGGGCTCTTCGGGCGGTTGCCAGATGTAACTCCAGTGTATACTGGGTACACTGAGGGTTCGGAGTATACCAGCCACAGGTAAGCTGGAGCGTTATGAAGGGGTCATGCTTCCAGCAACTGCAGGCGTTGTCGGCTGCAGAGAAGCATTGGTCGGAGCTGTTGAAGACCAAGGGTGTCGAGGGACTCATCGAGGAGGCCGCTACGAAAGACACAATTCCATACAAGCTCGGTATTTCTTCTCTTGGGCCGCGAGGCGGGCTCCCTCTTCCTCGTGTTGCCCGGCGGAGAGGTTCTCAAGAACGGTGAGCGAGAGCGATGGATGCTGCAGCCCCCCACCTGAAATATTGAAGCTGAGAGATTGAGAGACCTTTCGTGATGTCGGAGCGAAGATGTGAAAGTGTATGAGGTATGAGATCGATTACTGGCAGCCTGGATGCAAGAACGGATCGCTTGCGCGATGCTGTTTCTGACCCAGGGGGCGTTTTTTTGTCAGCTTGCTTAGGCAAGCCGTGCGACCGCCAAGTGCCAAGACCCAGAAGCGCTTAGCGGATTCTGCCTTAGTCTGCTGTGATCTGCTGTGATCTGCTGCATGCAGCACATGCTGCATTTGCCGCAAGGGCTCATGTGGACATCCTTTGGTCACACGCTAGGACACGGTGTTTCAGCCCTTGGCCCGGGTCCGCAAAGCCTTTGCGAGCAGGGAAGGGGCTCTTAACTCAGTGTCCACAGCAACATGAAACGTTTTCATCTGGCTTTTCTCAGCTGAAGGCTTGGTGGGCTACCCCCGAAGCGGGCAAAGTTTGGATCAAGGCATCGCACAATGTCCTCAATGCGCGTCATGGCATGCAGTGCTTTGCTTGGGCTTTTAATGACCAGACATGCTATGTTTTACATGAGAGGCGCTAGAAAACGAAGACTTCCTGGTTTTGGCTCCTCGGCCCTGTAAAGGCTATGACGATGACTTGTGGCGGACTAGACTCGTATGTAAGCCACTTAAGCCATTTAAGCTACTTAACCTGCTGTAACCTTTGTCTGTTTGTCTTTCTTGGTTTGTCGCTGCGAGGACGATTTCCTTCCTCTGGCAGAAGCTCAAGAGCTGGCGAAGGCGCTGGACAAACTGAGGCCGCAGATGCAACCAGGCGCGCTGGGAAGTTCTGGGAAGTTGCACTTCGAAGTTCTGCACAAGTTTGGAAGCAATCCTTATATGTCTGTTGCCAAGGCATGACGGATTCGGAGCTCTCTGCCTATGGCATTGCTGACATGCTCTTGTGACTCAAGAGCACGCGCTCATTGATACGTAAGTTCCGAATTGCAGGTCGTGGAGATGAGCCGCCTGTCAGAGAAACCAGTGATTGCAGTTTGTCGTCGCAGTTCGTCGCGGCACACTTTGAGCAGCAACCACGCAAGCTGCTTCAAGTTGTACAGTTCTTGTAGATGGTAAGTGCTGCATTCCACAGTCCGTGCATTCAAGGGTGTTGTGGCTGAAGCCAGCTGAAGCCCCGGAGCTTGGTAGCTCGTATGCACTGCTGCCGACTGTTGCCATCAGGATCTTGTCCATTTTTACGCCAGCTGCCAAACCGAGGTCCCCTGGTGGAGCACACGAATGCTCTTGTGAGCCTCATGATGGGCATCCCCGAGGTCGGAGTGCGATTCCCGATCCGTGTCGAATCCTTGTGTCGGGCAGGCCAAGATCCAAGCTCGAATGCAGGGCATTACGGCGTTGTCAGATGCACAGTTTGCACTTTTCCCGGGCAGTCCAGAAAATGCTTCCCTGCAGCGTTTATGCTTCCGCATCGTAGGGATACACACGTCTTGTTGCAGTGCTGGCCCTAGATGGCACTGCATGGACTAAGGATGATGCTAGATACATTCGCCATGTGGACAATGAAGATGGATGCAATGGAAGACCCAAGACTGCATGGTAGTGTCTGGTAGCGTCGCAGGGAGCATGCACGTGAAGGGCTTGCCCGCCCATGAACTTGAGCATGCCTGCACCAGAGCAACTCGAAGGATTGTTGACCTGCACCTTCTACTTGAACGAGGATTGGGATGCAGAACGTGACGGTGGTGAAATCCGATTGTGCGGGGCTTGAAGATGTCATCCAAGTCACGGCTTTACTCCTCGACAACATGAGGTTTGAGGAGGATCAGAAGCAAATCAAAGCAGACGTGGCACCAGTGATGAATCGTTGCTCGTCAAGTGCCAGCACGCCATTTAGGTATCTATGGGTGCACCTAGCCTGCCGACACAGACTTCTTTGTAAGCTCTCACCAAGGCAACCAGCATCTCACCAGTTTAGTGCAAAGTGCAGTGCAGGTTTGGTCGCTTTCTTCAGTGACTCCTCAGTGCCTCATGAAGTACGCAGGAGCCGTCGCCAGTCGCCCAGCCAGAGCCGAATAGCAGCCTCATCGTTTCCACATGTTTCGCTTGCCGTTTCGGAGGTGACAGGCGCGCTGTCACGACCTGGTACATCAACGAGGCACCTGTTTGCATCGAAAGAGGTGTGCGAAAAACAATCAACGCATAGAGAGGTCCGCGCACCATTGGCAGCAATTGCCAGGAGCTGCACCTGGCGTACCACCAAGCCGAGGAAGAGGGGCAGTGAGGTGACAGCGAGGTGACAGAAAGTTTCGGTGTATGTTCTTGCTTTTCAGTATTGAAGGCACTGTTCCGAAGATCCATACCGGGCACACTTCCCGTGCGAAAAAGCATTGGTCAAGCGAGGCTGGCGCAGCCGTCTCTGTGTGCTGCAGTTTCCCTGGCCAAAGAATGCCAGATGTACTGTAGGCTTGAGAGCGTTTTGAGAAGGGCGTTAGTGCCAACATTCTGGTAATAGCAAAGTCCTTTTGTGGCCACATTCGGCATGCTTCGGAAGCAAGGGAAGCAACAGCAGTTTGTCAATCGAACCATGCATGCCACAACATAAGGAACGTGGCATCGATCGCATTGCAGCAGGGCGGCCAGCTCAGCAGGTGTTGCTGTCTGGCCAAGGGGCCAGTTTGTAGCTGCCTGCCTGCATGCTGGGGTGCGCCGGGATACTCCGCCATCAAGTTGTTCCGCTGCGTTTGCTTGATGTCCCTTGGATCTTCTGCAGCTGTACAGCTTCATAAACTAGAATCTTTGCCAACCGCTGCCAGCAGATTGTCCTGTTGGCCGCGTCCTGCATATTGTGCGCCATGATGAGGAGGAGTGCGTCGCAACTGGGACGTGTTGTGAATGCATCATCGATCGGAGTGGGGTTGTAGAAGCATCAAGCCCGACTCGCACTCCTAAACCAAGGCGGGCGCGTTGCTTGCAGCTGGTTTTCGTCAGCTGGAAGCCTAGTGACTCAAACCTGGCTCCGGGAGTCCGGGAGTTCTAAGAGCTGTCCTGTCCTAGGCTCCCTCTGGCTTCAAGGAGCCAGTAGCAGCTCGGCACAAAAATCAAACAAATCAAGCAACAGCTTGCCTGAGTAACATTTGGAATTATTCCCCATCTCAGGCGGCATGCTTCAGAAGGCTTGGGCCGCAGGGGGCTTCCTTTGGCGTGATCTGTTCGGACAGTTCAACAGTCCATGCGAGTTAGGAGTTTGTTCTTTGAAGTCGTGAAGTCGCTGGGTTGGTCGAAATGTCGGAAAACCGAAAGAATAGCTAAACTCCGAATCCGAACCTTCCTGAACCCTCTAAACTCTGAAGCCCTTTGTCCGAAGCTCTAGACCAAGCTCCAGAGCCCGAAACCCTCAAATCCTCAAACTATTTAATTTCTGAAGCTTGTAGACATTACCCTGACAACCCGAAGACCCGGCTTCCAAAGCTCTGAGCCCCATTAAACCGAGAGACGCTCATCTCCCTGAGCCATTTTGGCAGAAGAAACATTAGCAAATTTTGTGAGACGCTTCGCCGTATAGCCGCAGCCATGATCATGGGATTCCTCACTCTTGGTGCCGCGGTCCTGGTCGGGGCCGCCTCTCCCGACAAGGCCACACAGCTCTCAGAGGCCATGGCCATGGATGCATGCGCTGAGGGGACGTGCGCCTTGCACGCGCTCCAGCAGAACACAACCGCCCTCCCGGCCAACAGTACGAAGCGGAAGAACCACACGGAGGAACCGGTCAGCGCCGAGAAGAAGCAGGGGCTTGAGGACGAGGACTTCATCGATCCGGAGGGCGACCTGCTTGGTGGTGAGAACTTCGCCGCGGTCAAAGTAGCTGCTGGTTGGTCCCAGGGCGGAGACAAAGTTTGGGGCAGTGGCAGAGGCATCGAAGACGTCAATGGTGGCAATGTCGGCTACTACAACAACGGCATGGACGCAGCTCACGCGCGCTGCGGCGGCAGCCACTGTGCCCTGATCGTAAACCCCCCGGGCCACCGCAGCATCAATCAGTTCCATATCCACTTCGTCAACTACGCAGGTTATGGATCCAATCTCAAGCACAAGCTCGAGCAGAGGGTTTGTGGCAAAAGCGGATGGCGCAGCGGAGGCCTGCCTTGTCATGGCAAGGCTATCTTCGTCGGCGGTTGGCCGAATGTCTTCTCCGTGGCCATGGGTGGCGGCGGCATGAGGCATGCTAGCGTGATCGCTTGGCCCGGCTCCTGCGGTCACAAGGGGACGATTATCGAGTTGGCCTATGGCTGCAGCATAGAGCATCAGATTCGCGGAGACTACAACCCGGCCTATCGTTAGGCAGGTAAGGGTCACTGCGATGAGATCACGAGGCGGCCTCTTTTGTCCTTGCCAGTCTTAAGCACTGGCTCGAATTCATCTCGGTGGCCATAATCTCTTTTTGCTCGGGCTCTGTACTTGATGCAAGTTCCTGGCTACACTACAAAAGTATAGCCTCCTCTTCCAACAGAGTTTTGTTCATGTGTCGGCATTTAAGCCCTAGACCGTTCCCAAGAAGTGATTGACTCAGAGAAAAAAGGCATCTAGGTCTGCTGTCTGTCACAGGTGTCCGCCCCTGGGCCTTTGCCGAGCTAGCTGAGGTAGAGTTGAAACACAGTTGCGCTTCCTACAGCGAATGTTTGTATGTGTGCATGGGTATCGTAACGCCTAGTTATGAAGATGTATTGCAGCTCATTCTTCCTCTTCCAGTGTGCTGATGACTCCGGTCCGTACATGTCATGTCACCTCCCAGCGGATCGTCAGGGACATGCCTCCCGTACAGAGTCAGCGGACCTGCCTGCCTTTTTTTCCCAAAACCCTTCGCGGGTTGGGGTTCTCCTTCAGGTCTTCAAACGGGCAGGTCGTGATACGGGGTGCGGCGCGGCAAGCAAAGGCGGAAAAGGCGTGGCAGACCACTCGACGGAAAGGACCCGAGCATGTTGGATGGAAGACTTTGGGGTGCGGAGCGGGTTGTCGGGGGATCCACCACAGGGAGGTGGTCCTCAGGGAGGCGAGATGGGCTGGGTCCGTGAAGAGGGGTGCAGTTGGCGGTTGGGGGGCGCCAGTGGGGTGGGGGCACAGCAGCAGGGAGGTGGTTGGCCGGGAGGTGGCCTGGGTGCAGCGGGGGCGGGGTCCAGGGACGGCGAGACATGCGGACGCGGTGGGGCGGTAGATGGCGGTAGGGCCTGCGAGACGTGTGCGAGAAGGACCGCCGGGTGGTCCTCCTCGTGTGAAAGGAGCTTCTTGTGCCTCCTAGAACTCGGCACGGGCTGGATTTTCATTGATTTGTAGTACAAGTTTAGTGCTGCAATCTCGGTTTCGGGTGAGCTGGCTGGGTTGTCATGGTCAGCAGTAACAAGAATGGGCAGCACCCGCAGCTCCATACTCGCTCTGCGGTGCGGCAAAAAAATAGCCTACGAGTACTTCTGCAGACGGTTTTTTGGGTTCTCAGGTTGACCTTGTTTAAGACCATTGGGTAGACTCTCTGATCCGGAATGTGGCTGTAGCATGTTTCGGCACTCCAAGCTTCTCATGGTTTGTCATTTGCTGCTGCGGGAATCTCAGAACATCTCAGAACATCGGCAGGTAGCAGAGCAGAGCCCCTCTGCTCCACGCAGAGAACTGATACGTAAAGAGGCTCGACGAGAGCCTCGGCTGCGGACTTTTTTGCGGCGGCCTGTTCGAGCTTTCCAGTCTCGTACACTGTGTGTGTGTGTGATGATTTGTTCACCGCAACAAAACGAATACACACGAATTACATGAACAAATGATTGTATGCAGGAATCCCATGTGGCTGCAAGCGCATCTGGGCAGCATGAGGGTTGCGAAGCCGACTTAGTCTTGCCAACTTGTTCGTGACACTGCCGTGACCACAGGCGTCCCTGGCCTTTCAGCAGACGCTTTCTTGCACTAGAAGCAACGCGTGGTGTGTTGACTTGGCCTGGCTGATTTTGCTGATTAAGATGATTAAGCTGATTGCCTGCCTGGAACAGCGTCTTGAATATCGCTCGATCTTGGCTTCCTGTACGGGCTTGCGAAAGTTAAAACAAGTCCTTACTCACCTTGCCACGGGCATTCAAGTTGAGCCAAGATGTGGCCTGAGGTACAAGTTTTCCGTGTCGAGGTCACGAGAAGGCTGGCATGACCAAGCCGTGCGCATCATGGGCATAGGGCCACTTTGAAAGGTCGACTTTGCTTCGACTTTGCTTCGACTTTGCTTCAGGTGCTGCCATTTCCAGCATCTCTGAGCTGGTGCTAGCAGATGATAGAGCGCAGGCGGGCGCAAGACCTCTGCAAGCGAGATCTGTTGACCACCTCTCTTGGGGGTTCGTGTCGCCCTCGCAGGCGATGGCCTTGAAAGATCCGGGGGTTGTGTCCGAAGTCGCCATCGGGAATGAGACTTGGACGAGAAGGGCATTTGAGAAGGAAGGCAGGAGAAGGAATGCGAATTTTTCGGGGCGAGGGCTCCTCTCTCCGAGGATGCTTCCGACAGTGCTGGGATGGATGACCCCTTGAAGTGCATCGACGACGACACCTCAACCAGCGGTCGCCCCAGTTTCTTGGAGCTGCTTTTGCAAAGCCTAACTTCGCTCCTGTGCGAGGCTTGCTTCTGTCACCAGGGCAGTACATCATAGTCAAAGTGCGACCGGGAGTTTTGGTGGGTAGCTTCGGCTTCAAAACACCTGGTGGCCAGGACTGGCGTAGCAGCTTACAGAGGAGAACACAGCACAATCTTTCCAGTTGTTCCTTGTGAGGAGACACATGGAACTGATCCAGTGGACTTTCAGCTCGAAGGTTCCATGGATGGTGCCGACTGGTTCTTGCTGAACGCGAAGGCCAGCTGTGAAGAGGTCATACCGAAAGCAGGCGACAGTTAGTGCCGGATGCGTAAGGCGGGCTATGCGACGCCAGATGAACGCGGCATCTTGGTCGGACCCTTCATCGTCTCCAGGCCGTTGCGAAAATAGCATCTTGCATCGAGCACGTGGCGGCTTTGGATTTTGAACTTTGGGAGGATGTCGGCCATGGCTTTGCTCGGCAATCGCACACTTCCGGCAGCAGCAACAGCAGTACCAGCGTCGCCAGCTCCCCCACCTAGCGACTCAAAGCCGTTCGAAGTGCCACAGCAAGCAGATCAAGCAACAGCTCCAGCTGCAGTGCCGATCGTAGTGCCGGTGGCAGCAGCTGCCTCTGAGAGCACCACGACAACACTGGATATTGTCGAAGCTGCGCCGGAGGAAGCGCAAAGCAAGGTGGCCCAGGCAGTCATGCAGGCCTCCAAGGCCAATGGCTTGGACAATGCTGATACGGCAGCAACCGCTGCCGCTGTGTCTGCTGCAAGCGAGGCTGCAAAAGCATCCACTCCCGCAGCACAGGCAGATTCCCTCAGCAAAGTTGCAGAGGCGGCAGCTTCCATGGGCCTGAGCGATGCCCAGGTGCAGGATAGTGCAGTGAATGCGGTCTTGGTGCAGGGTCAGTGTGATCTAACAAGGAAAAGAATGGGGTGTACGGTATGCTGTGCACGCCTGCGACCCGGCACGACCTGCCCCAGGTCGCAAGCATTTCGTCTGCACTCAGATCTACCGATCCGGACCATTGGGGCCATATACTTGACGCCTGGAAAGCAGCTGCTTCGGCAAACGCTGCCTCGAAGCCTACAGCCTCTCCTGAAGCGAAAGTTGCCGCTGTCGTGGCAGCGACGGGAGACGCGGGCTTCACTGTTCAGCAGCAGGCTGTGGCTGCTGCAGCGACTTGGCCGTTTAGCGTTGCAGCCGCAATGCAGTGAAGGACTGTGCTGTGCTGCTTTGCCGGGAGTGAATCAGTGAACGTAAGTCCGTTCTGGACGATTGAGTCTGGTGTTGGCCCAAAACTATACAAAGGGAAAATAAGGGAAATGTAGGTTGCTAACTAGGATCGGCTTCAGTGGGACATGAACTACAGACCCGTGGTCATTGCGCAATTGTAGCTATTATACGCCCTTTGGGATTCGCATGTGGCATGTGAGGGGTCCGAAGTTGAAGCCAGCCAAGGAAAGTGCTGTACCTGCAGCGCTGAAAGTGCTTCAGGGCGCAACGACCGCGGCACCTGTGAGCGTTGTTGGGCAGGCTCTGGCAGGCACCCAGCTGCATTGCAAACCCTCTTCACGGGATTTCACGGGCACTGTCTGTCTGCAAGCGGTTTCGGAACGTTGCCTTCTCCATGAAGGTGCTGACATCCCGCTTGATCACAAGGCTGCTATTGTGGATGCAGCTTCTGCAGAGACTCAGGAGAACCAGTCGCCTGGCTTCAATCAGCTTGGGTCGCAATTCCTGTTTTGTTTGTGACGGGAGCCTGAACACAACAGCCGTCCGTATGCAAGGAAAGCTGTGGCAGACGTGCTGTCTGCTGCTGGACTGCTGTCCACGACAACGGAGCAGCCGGAAGCTGCAGCCTGGACTGGCAATGACTGGAAACACACGAAGCAGTTGTATCTCCATGATGCTTTGCAGAGCTCTGAACAGCTGGAACTTGTGAAGAGGTCGACCTCGGCGATCCCAACGTTAGACTCGTCATGGATGCAGTGTCTCAAAAGCTTGCGGATGTGCCCGTGAGCAAAGCACAGAAGGCACCTGGGTGGGACTATCTAGAAATAGTAGTTCTTCGCTTGCGAACCACTGCAGAATGCTGGGGTGGTGTTGGCCGAGGCACGCATCGTAAACGCGGCTGCGCAAGCTCTGACAAAGGCCAGCACGACACCCTTCGATACTTGGCCGGATATCCCCGAAGCTGGGCTTCCGTGATTCGCCGTCTGGAATCTTACAACACTTTTACAACATTTGCAACAGCGTGTCCATGTCCGTTCGAGGACGGTGTTGGCATGGTGGTCGAGGCTGCCAAAGAAGCAGGCCTGACCGATAGCCAGGTGTCGAAGAGACCTGTATGCATGCTTTGCGTGATACTGCACATAGAGTGCCCAGAGCCCAATCAGGGTTTGTGCGGGAGTTGAATCTGAGGATTGCTGCGGAGGCACCAGAGCTTTCCGCCGAGCAGCAGGTGTCTGTAGCCACAGCGCTGAGCGCCGCGGGAGACTCTCGGCTACCGTCGTAAACGGCACGGGACCCCAGTGCACATTCTGTCGCAGGCTTAGGGTTTGCCTTAGCCAAGGATGGAGTGGAAAAGGTCATGGAAAAGACCTTGCCCAAGCCGGCCGAGAAGGTCGCAGCGGTGGCTTGCCACGACCATGCGGCAAACTCACATCCCAAGAAAAGCGTCGAAAAGCTTCGAGTGTTCCATGACTTCAGCGGCTCGTGTTGCAGATGAGGTTGTCAAGGCCGAAGCTGCAGCTGGAATGGATGATGCAGAGCAAGCAAATTCAGCCGCAATCGCAGTTCCTGGGCTTATTTAGACTACTGTAGCTAGCAATAACGAGCCTGCCTGGCTTGTTTTGGCCTTAGATTTACCCTCAATTCCGGTACCTCTCCACACGCTGCCACCATAGGTTTCCAGTCGTCGATGTGTGATGGCACATCTTGATGATTTTTCTACCGTGTGCACATTATCTGATCCCGACCTAGGTCGCAGCAGCGGCTTCGGCATCCAAGCGAGTGGAAAGTGCAGAAAGTGAAGCTGACATCTTCAAAGAGATTGCGCCCTGTCATGCCTTATCCTACTTCCCCACCTTCCTTATCGGTTCATAGGTTTGTTTGAAGAACTACATGAAATTTACTGCTAAGTAAGGGCCAGCAAAGCTGCCACACAGACGAACAGATGACTTCATAACGGGGAAATCAGTGGAGAGTACATCGGAGAGAGAGAGAGACACACACACACACACATTGGCCAAGACGATGAGAACAAAAGAAGTAGTACCGGTTTGAAGGGTGGGCACCCTAGGGATATTGTCTGGGGTTGCTCTGCAGGAAGTTCTGCCGACGACTCCTGCTCTACTTTTCGAGGAACTGTTTTGCTACTGCTTTGACGACGACAACTACCTACTATTTCGCCATTCATTTTTTTGTCGTCATGATTATCGTTTTCCCTTTGCTGCTGCTGTTGTTGCTTTTGTATGTTTACTACGAGTACGAAATGCCATTGCTGTTGCTACTACTCTTACTACACAAATTGCACTGTTGCTGCTACTACTACCACTACTACCACTACCACTACTACTACTACTACTACTACTGCTACTACTACTACTACTACCACCACGACGACGACGACTACTACTACCACTACTACCACTTCCACTACTACTACTACTACTACTACTACTTCTACTACTACCACTACTACTACTACTGCTGCTACTATTACTACTACTTCGACTACGACTACTACTACTACTACTACGACGACGACGACTCAATACTCCTGCTGCTGCTACGCTGTTTCAGTTGCCATAACTGTTGATTGAGGTCGAGTTGACGGCTCCTCTGAAATCAGAAGCTCAGACGCTCAGACACACAGATACTGTATCCACAAAGGTAGCTGAGTGACTGAGACTCTTCTTCGCGCTCTCTCACTTTTTGTGTTTTGCTTTAGCTCTTTTGATGACAGGTGCTAGAACTAGTGTAATTGCTTCTTGTCACTTCTATTTCCACTTTTTTACAGCTTTCGTTGGGACCCTTTATTGTCTACAGATCAGGCTTCGTCTGTAGTTCCAGACTCCGAAAGCTGTGCGAAAGTGTTACCGTCCTGTATCCGGAGACACGAACTGAACAACTCAAAACGAAGTATGTCAAATTGCTGTACCGCAAACAGCACTAACGCGTGCCAATCTTGACAGTTTATTGATTTGCAGATATGCAGAATACTTTCAACAATGTATATACCCAACGATACGCGCAACGGATCCTTTTCGAGAATTTGAGAAACTTCTGAGTGACTCCGGCTGCTGTTTCTATCTTACAACGACCACTTGCTTGATCCCAACTGACTCTTTTTGGATGATTGTTATACACTTCTGTGCCCTCACATCATGAGTGCGGTGGGAACCCTGCTGCAAAAAATAATCCTGCGGGCCTTTTGTTCAGACTCTTGCATGTCCTGAGGTTGCTGCCGCCGTCAAGGTTTCTCAGCTGCACGTGCACGTGAGTGAATCTCCTTGGTTTTCTTTTGCCATCATCTCGTATCCAATGCATTCTGCATTTGAGGCTCGGCTCGGCCAGGAGCAAATAGAGTCGATCTTGTCGGTCGTGGCGCCAATGCCTGCGGAAGACCAGGCTCAGCAAGTGGGATGCTGGGAGTAGGGAAGCTGTTCGGTGAAGCTCGGGGTTCAGTTTCGTATTCTCCAGAAGGAAAAAGCTGCTTTCGAGCTTTGCACCGGCATCAAGCCTACGAGCCACTAAGGTTGCCGTCAAGGAGCATCTGGAAGCGCTGGATCCTGTGCCTACGCATGTTGCAATGGCGGACTTTTCAGCTACGTCAGCAAGTGCATGACTGGCCATCACTGGGCAATGGTACTGTGCATGCGGTAGTAGAAACACTTATGAATAGAAAGCACTCTACACACACACACACATATATATATATATATATATCATGATATATATATATATATATAATATAGGTACACATACTGGACTACCACATCACATCATATCACCCCGAGCCCCGGGAAGGTGAAATATCATGCGGCAGATGCCATCGGCTTCAGGCTTAGGCTAAGCTCCCCACGAAGACACAGATTGCGAGATCAAGTTTTCACCAAACTAGATGGGAAGAACTCGTCACTCGTGCCATGTATGGCCTTCACGCCATGACTCTGTTGTCTTTGTGTGTTTGCGCTGGTGTGTTTTGATCCGATGTGAGATTGGATCCAAGGCCCGTTTAGGGTTGCTAAGCAACATCGCAGCTCATGCAATCGAATGGACTGTGTACCTGCCTCCTCCCGCTGAGCCCACGCTCCACCCACATCCGAAGCGTCAAGTCTCTCAAACCAAAGCTTCGGCGCGGATGCTGAAGGTGCCCCTGGATGCAACATCCCTGCCGCCGGTGCCCTTGGAGGGTCTGCCAGCAGTCGAGATCACGCCGTTCCTTCCGCAGAACGATGTGGGCCGCATGCCATCCACCTCCACCGTCCCTGAAGCAGCTCGTCTTGGAAGCACTTCAAAGCCTCGCGGCCTCGCTCTGAAAGCTTCTAAAGCAGTCGTCTGAGCGTAGTGAAAATAGAGTCTGGAAGATAACTTGGGCTCGAAGGCGACGTCGAGTGGGTCTGGCGATCAATTCATGTTCGGTGCTCGGTCGCCTTGCCCGTCTTTTCTTGCATTCTCCTTGTACCCCCGCCTTGCATCTTCTTGCCATAGTCAACTTCAACCTGCTCTGTGCGCAAGCAGATGCAAGCAAATGTAAGCAGATGCAAGCGAATGATGAAGCACCTAAAAGCGGGTGTTTCAAGTTCAAGGTTTGGTGTTGTCCCCTCGCTGACGAGCTCCCGTGCAAGCTACAAGGACCTTCGGCGTTCACGCCTTGTGTTCTTGCGAGCGTGATCGCCTCAGGACCAGACCGGTTTGTTGCCGAAGGGATTCCTGTTCCAGGTGGTGCTAAACAGCCAAGGCCGGGGTCAAACTTGGTTTGGGCGTTCCCACATGTTGCTTCGCTAGGAATCCTAGAGTTCTTGCGCGAGAAGACTGGCTGGGAGGGTGATCCCCACGAGCTGAGCATTGTGTTTCGGCAAGTCTTGAGACTACTTTTGAACAGTTCAAACAAAAGCTGTGGTTTTCGATCTTTGAGCTTTGCGCCGAGGCCCTGGGCCGGTTTCGATTTGACTGGCCAGTGACCAGCTGTTCGGATGAAGAGACGCCAGGCATTTGCTTTCCTCATACTCGTTTTATATTAGTCGTGTATTCGCCTTTTATTAGTATTGTATGGGTTCTTATATGACTCTTATGCTACGTATATAGGTTTACGTGGCGAAGACAAAGGAGTGGCTTTACAGACTTCCAGTCTCTCACGTTTTACAATGCGACATTTGCCAACCCTGGTGATGAATGTGGCACACTAGTGGCCACAACTGTGGATGTTGCTGGGGCAGTTCGGTTTCCCCGTGCAGGCACGGGTCTTGGAGTGGCACAACTTTGTTTGTAGCCAGTGCAGCAGTGCTCATGGCGCTTGTGGTCACTTCCTTGTTGGGCATGTAGAGCCCGATGGAAACGCCAAGGTGACACCAACTTGTTCTGGCTTGCTGGGCAGCTGCTTCGCTAAGAACAGCTGCATTTGCATCGTCAACAAAGTGTACTGCAAGCTGTCCAAATGCCGCTATATGCTCTGCAGGTTCGGAACGAGATATCCCCTCCTGGGTGGTGACAAGGTGCTCCTTGCTGTCCTCGACCTCGTGGTTGTAGCCTTTACAGGCGGTGAGAAGGCCAGGTGGAGCACTGGTGGAGCCAAGCCGCGCCCGAGTTATTGCGGACGTGAAACGTGCTTGCGAGGTTGCGTACAGCATATGTGGAGATCCAGCAAATGCTTTTTACGTGGGCTGCCCCATACAGCCGATTGGATTTGAGCTTCAGATCTCGGCATGTCAATGGAAACACAGTGTGCGACAGCAATGTAATGCTGCACCCGCAAGCGCCCAGGAGCATGCTGAAGATCAAGTATCCAGAGAACAACCTCGGGCAGGGCGTTAAGATCTGTTCAGGCTCGCGCAGCGCAGTTGCAAAACCTTGGCGACGTCAGACTGCTCCCAGGCCAGGCGCATTTTCACGAGCACAAGCTCGAGAATTGCTTCACAGCTGCTCGGCCAGCGCAGGCTGTGTCATCGTTTGATTTGTTGCTGCGGCTTTCAATCCAACTCGCCTTAGGTTTAACGTCACCTTGCGAAGATGTGGGTGCCGACATGGATTGGCTCCAATGGCGCTGTGGCCATGTGTCAAGAAGTAAAAAGGTATGCCTCAAGCCTCCACTCTTGCAGCGACCGGCACCAGAAAGTCTCGTGAGTCGATTTGCGCACTTGTGCGGACGACAGCAGCGGGCCCATTACAAGGCAACTGACCAGCGTCGTTGCCTTGCGGGAGAGACCTGCGTAACCTTGCACGGTGACGTGCCTCCCCCCCCAGCCCATGCCGACCCTATTTCAGACAAGAGAGTCTAGAGACGAGGAGTGACCCCAGTGCGTGGAGCCTTGAAATTCCTTGAGGTCCGCCGCCGCAGGGCGGCCTCAGGATGTCCCTCGGCACGAAGATGCGGAGGCCACTGAGGATTGCTGGACAGTCTGCTGTCTGAGACTCGCAGCCGCGCTGCAGGATGTGGGTTCAGTGGTGGTGAAGGAAGCTGTGAAGTGGCTGTGTGGCCCTGAACCTCCAAAAGTCTAGGCCTAATCTTCCAGCAGCTTGTGGCATGAGGCTCCAGAAGCTGTACAGACGCTGTGACAACAGCAAGCTGGAAAAGGCAAGTGGCAGTGAGCATGCGGACCTGCAAATGAGCAGTAGAGTGAGATATGTAAAGTGCGACACGTTCGGAGACTTTTCGCAGGTGCCGGAATGGATGACGAGATGTGAGGGCAACGAGGTGCCTCCGAGCAAGGGCAGGAGTAGCAGACATTGGTACGATTCTGCATGTGCCGCTCCACTCCGCTTGAAGGTCTTCTTGTTGCGCTCGGCCCTGCGTAAGTACGTTTCCATGCCCAATCCTCAGCAGAATCCTCAGAGTTTGCATTGCCATCATTGTGCCTCCCCCCTGAGGCCTGACAACACACATGATGGCTGATTGCCCAGTCTCGATAGTACAGTGTCCGATGTCTGCTTCCTTTCTGATCCCTTCTCCTCTACCAGGCTTGGAAGAAAAGGCTGACCTTTTGCAGGAGTTCTCGACAAGCATGAAGCTTTGAGTTCAAGATTTGGATTGGCGTATCCTGTGGAACAGGAGTTGCTAATGGGACTAGCGGACCACTTTGCGGTGGACGGCCCTGCAGCTGTTGTGTCGACCTAAGCGAACGCCAGTTGAAGCACATGGATAACTGTAAACGCTTGCGCGTGCCGCCCAAGACACATCGGCAGTCCAAGAACCCGGAATTTCCGGTGCACACAGTCGGTCTGCAGATACGCAGAACGAACCGCAGGTCGAAAATGTCGAAAAAGATGCGGGCCCGCAAGCCCGAAACCTTGACCGCGCATGTGAACTTGGGGACGTGTAGGCTTGCTGGATAACTTCCGAAGGCGTGGTGGCCGTAGTGGCCTGCAGCTATGCCAAGCCTTCGGGGCACTCGTTGTCTGTGCTCGTGCAGTACGGGGGTAAGGGGGCAGTTGGGAAGGCAGGGAAGGAGACCGGTGTTCCTGGTTTGTCCAGACACTTCTCGGCCGAGGCCGAGGCGAATGTTACAGCAAGTCTCTCGGTGCATTGTCTTTCATTGTCTCTGCAAGGACCTGGGCAACCTGGGTAACTCTTTCTTGCAGGAGCTGTGCGCCACGAGCGTTGCGACTTGTGACGCATGTTCCTTTGTGTTGTCATCCCCAGACTTGTCGAGGTACCAGCTTCTCTACAAAGTAAAGGACCGCCTTTGGGCTGCTTCGGTACTTGCTGTTTCTCGTGACCCCTCCTCAACTTGTGCATCAGCTTTGCCTGACTCGGTCTCTGAACGGCACTTGACTGACGCCGAGACCAAACCAGGAAACGCAAGGCTGTCAAGTTCAAGTATGCTGCAAGAGGTACGAAAGTGTCAGATCCTGCCAAGAGCATCTAGAATCTAGAAGATCAGCTTCCAACTTTAAAAATCACCGCGCATCACCAATGTCTAGCATGTCTGCCATGGCTCCAGACCTCCGCTTGAAAGAGCTGCCTGGCCGAGCTGATGGTGTTGTGTGGGACAGTGGGGTGTTTTCCAGCTGTGCTAAGGCTGGAGGTCCAGCTCGTGCAGGTGTGCCAGTGGCACCAAGAAAGCATCCAGAAATGCTTTGCAGACTTTGTACAGGCCCTTCAAATGCGCACACTCGTGACTGTTTCATTAGGCTGCATAGACGCAGTTGTGGAGATGGCAGGGATCTTCGCAATCGGCTGGAGTTGGCACCGGACTGAGTGGAGGCATGTACGCGCGTAAATCCTTGCAGTTTGCACCCCTTGTCAACTCTTGCGACGCCAGGCCTTGCAAAAGAGAGCAAGCTCCCTCCTCTGGATCCGGGCGCTCCCTTCGCTCGAGCCCCCAGTCGTCTCCCTCCACTCGAGGCTTTGAGCCCATTGAGCCCAATTGGCAAGACCCGATTGACGGAGATGGAAGACGCACCCATGCCCCCTGCCATGCCCCCTGCGGCCTTGCCCCCAACCATGCCATCTATGCCATCCGTCAAGCCGGAAGCCGAGCCGGAAACCGACGCAAAGCCTGCGGAATCCGCTGCAGCATCACACCTGGACCTCGAAGCTTGTCCAGCAGTGGGAGGAGCAGGACACGTGCATGTCATGCACAAGCTTCTTGGGCTATCACACCTTCTTTTTTAACAGATTGCATTCGTAAGATTCCACGCGTGCTTGCTGGCGTTTGATGTTGCTATATGTTGCTGGTATCGTCATCGTGCGCTGTTGTGGCGCTTTCCACTTCAGGCTTGAAAGTGCAAATCATAATTGTATTGCCACTGGTGTGAGATGGCAGCCATGTTGGAGTCTCTCGTTTGCCCTGTCTGCCCCATGCCAAGTTCATTGAACCCCTTCGGTTCGTGTGTCCCCCTGCAAGGATGCATGTCTTGGTGTGTCTTGTTTGGTTCAGTACATGAAGCAAAGCAACTGCTTGCTGACCGAGCTAGTGGGGCCAGCGAACAGGGCCCACCACGTTATACAACGTGACACTTGCATCACCTGGCACCACTGGACGGGCATGGTTATTCTGAAGGGTTCCTCAATTGACAGTCCCCTGTGGAGAGGAGCCGCTGTCGCAGCAGTGGACAAAGAGCCCATCGCAGACTCGCCTTCACGTGGGTCTTCACCCGGTGAGAAAGGCGCGATAGGGTGAAGCCATGATCAGGCTGCAACGATTGGTGGTGGGGACTCATGGATGTCTGCCAAGGAGCAGCTGATGTGGCAGCGGACAAGGAGCCTGTCACAGATGTGGCTGCACCTGAAGAGAAAGGCACATGGGGCGAAATACCTTGAGACTCTCTTTGAACAGGTGCCGCCGTGAAACAAAAGTTGCTCGCAAGGACCTTGTACGCTTGGGTCCCACACCAAGCAAGCCGAAGCAGGATTGCACAGTTCGGACCTGAGCTCAGATCCGAACGACGCAGGACACGATTTTGCGATGAGCAGCCCTTGTTATGCTTTTTTTGTTTTTATTTTCTCCTTGCCTTTTACCCCGATTGGGAGGACTCTCGGCAAGTGGGGACTGTACAGATCTGCCATTGAAGCTGAACGATCATGACGAGCCTAGCAAGCACAACAAGCCCGAGGCCGGTCCCCATGCCAAGGAAAAAGGGGAGGCTCTGTGCGGGTCGAAGAGTTCCTGTCGGCCCTGTCCAGGAACTTCACTCGGAACTTGTTTCAGAGGACGAGCACCCTCAAGCATTGCCAGGCTTAGGGTTGCTGAAACTGCCTCCATAGCGCCTCCGTAGCTTCCACGTGCTGTAGATGGCAGAGTGAGATCAGTGGCCCAGGTGTTCCGGATGGAAACGTCACGACCCCACAGCTGCAGTCCATGGATTCCGATGGTGTCGGGCTGACAAGCCGCTTCAAGTCAAACTCCTCCAACTTGAGAAGATCCAACTTCATCGCGCATGAAAACCGACGAAAAGTTTTCGAGAAGCAGAGCAAGATCCAGCGCCTTACGGAATCACCTTGTTTCGAGTCAACAAGCGGAGTCCTAATCCTCCTAAACTGCCTATTCGTGGCTTGGCAAACTCAATCCAAAGCCTTGGACGACGAGTTTCGAGCTGCTGCAGGTTTGGAATTGCCGCGTGGCTGTTCTGTCAGTTCGTGGAGCTTGGTAGATGTCACCAAAGCAGCCCCATTTGGCCCAGCGCGGTGGTTGATGATCGCTTGAACCAAGGGTCGTGTCAGAGCCGCTCGAGTTCACAATTCTGCAAGGCATCTTCGTGGTGTGCTTCTCCGTAGCGCCTCAGCTCGGAGAGTCTTCTGTGCTGGTTGATTAGCTTGATTTTTGTCTTAACAATCTTCAAAGTGTCGAACCTCTGAGGAGCTCTGCCTTCGGTTCTTGGCAGACAGGTGGTATCTGTTCAATTGCCACAATCCAAACGCTTTCTGGAATTGGTGCCCTGGCAGAGTGCCTTGTGATGCCTCGTGATGCCATGATATGCCATGTGCTTGTTCCGACAAATTTTCCGCATCAGCTGCCCTTTCCATGATCCTCTCGTTCTTGTTTGGGCATCGCCAGGCACGAGACCCGGTGTTGCGTCTGCTCGTCTAAGGCTCGATCTTTTGGTGGTGGCGTTCGACTTGGATCCTTAGCTTCGGAATGGGACGCAAGATCTTCCGCCGTGTTTTTGTTGTTCCACACCTTCGGTGTAGGGTTGCTACATGTTGCTACTCCCCTATTCTCCTGTGTTCTCTTCGGTCTCCTAGCCCCAGAGAATCCCGCGCGCCGAGCAATCTTGAAGATCATCCTTGGAGCCGGCCCTCCCCCCATGCGTGTCCTGCAGAGAATTCCGCAGAGAAAGAAGATCCCGTAGAGAATCCCATAAGTGTCCCTGGAGCGCTCGCCCCAGAGCTGCTGGGGATGTGGCAGGGGGTGTTCGAAGTAAGTATCGTCTTTTTTTTGTTTGGTTGTATTGTGCTTGCAATACACCCAAGGTCAGCATTTTTCTGGAAGTCTGGGTTCAGTTCAGCCTTCTGCGGGTGATACGAGTCGTCCGCGTCATCCGCGTTGCCACCTTTCTGCAACGCAGCACTGAAGCTGACGAAAGGCGGCAAGAGTAGAATCTGCGTGCTGGGAATTCAATTGGATTTGCTCTGAGCCTTCAGGCTAAAATGATTCGAGCGGCCCGTCTGCATTCACAAGATGCAACATCGCATTCAGCGTGATGGAGATGCAAAGAATTGTGAAGAAGTTCAGGGGGGGTGTGGACATCATGTAGTAAGCCAGTGAAGCCTTCACTGGTAACCAACTACAATTGCCTGTAACCTTTTGGGCTCAGAGCTGACAAGGTCGGAGCCGGAAAAGAAAGTTCTAGAAAGTGCGTCTCCAATGTTTCTCGTTTTCTTCTAGCACTCTGCTAGTGCTTTGCGAGTGCTCTGCTAGTGCTGTTGTTGCTCTGCGCTGCTCGGAATGAAGGCCATGAAGGCATTGCGGTGCCCGTTGTGCCCGTCATACCCGGCGTGCCCTTTGGACATGCAAAGTCCAGCACCGTGCGTGCCGGCACAGAAGCGGTTGCTTCTCGGGCCACTTGCAGCTACGACAGCTGCGATGGCGGCGACAGCCACGACAGCCGGAGGTTTCGCAAGGCACATGGTACCTGCCATGCGCGGCCTCCAGCGAGGCAGAATGGTCAGGCGAGTCAGCAATGATATCCAGTGGCTGCCTAGCGAAGCTGGCGAAGCAAAGGTGGAAGCAAGTGGCGAAGTCGAAGTACCTCTTCTCCTGGTGGAGGATGTTTACTTGCCTGGTGCACCTGTGACGCTGCCAGTTGCTGACGAGTCCACCAGACAGCTCTATGACTGCATGCTGGCTCCCAGGCTTCAAGCTTTTTGTTCGTTTGTGACGGTCTTGTTGCAGAAAGATTGTTTAGGTAAATGTCTGCACCCTAGCGCCCTAGTGGACATGGTATTGGTAGAAGTGGCTATATTTGACCATGGTCCACGGTCTTTACGGATTGACTTGGGCGACTCTAAGTTGCCAAGGCGGCTGGTGGCCGGCTCCTAGCTGCAGTTCTGTACGACAAAGAGAAGCAGCAGATGGCTGCATACGCAACGCTGCTGTATTTAGAAGACCTGGTGGCGTCAGGGCCCGGCTACCTCGCCTTGCACTTCGCTGTGGGAAGGGCTCGGCTTCACAGCTGCCTTTCCGGTCGTGACTTCTTACGAGCTCAGGCAGATTTGCTTTGGGACGACGGCGAGGAACCTTTGAACATGTTGGACCCTGCAGATGCGCTGTCCGAAGAGCTGTCTGAGTTGACACGCCTGCAAGAACTGCGCGGGATGCAGGGAGCAGGGCTGCGATCCGCCTTAACCTTGGCACAGCCTCTGCCACTTACGGTCCAAGCTGTTCAGGGCTTGTGGCGTGCAAAGAGTGGAGTACGCATTCGGATAGATGGTGGCGAGGTTCAGGACCTCGGAAAGCTGGAAGTCCAAAACGGACGGCTTACGGTGCAGTTGGGCTCTAAGCCTTTTTCAGCGACTTTAACTCCTGGAGCTGATGACACCGTGGATGTTCTGACCTGGGATGATGGCGATGTTTGGCAAAGACTGGCTGCACCACCTCCGGCACGAACCTCACGACCAGCCGCTGCAATCTGGCAGGCAGCACGTCGCTGGCGCACTGTGGGCACTTGGCGCGCTGAGACACGGCGAGGCGAAGCGCGCTGGAACTCGGCGGCGGAACTGGCAAAGTCCACGAACACGCGGGTTTGGGATCCTCAACAAAATGATGATGAAGGAGCGGCGGCCTGGGCTTCGGCCGCGCAGAAGGCGGACGACGCTGCGCGCGCAGAGCTCTGGGAGGAAGTGCTCCAGCCCTGCCAGCGGCTCCTCCAAGCTCCGTCGACTGCGGAGAGGGTCGAGGTCTTTAGAGGAATGCTCAGAGCAGAGATCACACGTCTGCAGTTGCTGCTGGCAGTTGACCCTCGCATTGCCCGTGAAGACTAAAAACGGCCAGAGGGCTCTGCAATGTGCTGCCCGTTGCCTGTGTGATCATGTTTGTCAGAAGTGCGATTCTGTGACAATCTGAGGTCATGAGGACTTTTCAGGAGCTCCGGCTGCTCATGCACTCCATAATCAGCTGCATTCGCTCCCTCATCTGGGTTGTGGCTGTTTTGTGCCTGATGCTGGGCATGTTCTCCGTGATGTTCACATCTGCAGTAGGGTCCACCTTGGACAATGCAACTGCACGGCGAAGTCCTGACAACTCGGTGTTGATTGAGCATTTTGGCACGCTGGATCGCTCTATCCTGAATCTCTACATGGCAATGACCGGTGGCACGGACTGGTCGGTCCAGTACGAAGTCTCATGGCATCAGAGAGCAAAGCTTTGACTTGACCCGATCCGTGGAAGTGTATTCAGTGTGCTTGCTTTCGAATGCTTTCGAGTGCATGCAAGCTCGCGGCTGTCTGAGGCAATGTCTCCCCTGCCTGGTATCTACCTGTCCTTGTTCTTGCTTTACATTACATTCAGCATCTACGCATTGGCCAATGTTGTCACAGGCACTCGCATAACCGAGTTGCAGACAGAACGTGCGCCAACTATGTTGCCTCTCCTGGGTCAGGCATTTTCCTCGAGAATGCTCGTAACTCCGGGAAGAGGGATCGCGAGCATGTGATTGCGGAAGAGCTGCAGCTCAAGACGCAGTTTCTTCATGAACTGCAGAGAGTGTTTGATGCCCCTTGGTAGCACTTGCCGCGCCGCATGCCACACTGTACCTTCACCTGTTGCTGCCTGAGGAGATGGATGCGAACGAAAGCGGGACGATCAGCAAAGATGAGTTCCAAACCACATTGCAGGATGAGCGGGTCCAGGCTTACTTCAATGCCATGAAGTTGGATGCTCGAACCATGGCAGCACAGATTCACTGTAAGTCCCTCCACCCTGCGCTTTAGTCCGGGTCAGCCATGAGGCAGAAACCGTTGGATAAGAGGCATTCTTTTCGAAGCACCAGCGCCTTTTCAAGAGCAGCCGTCATAAAAGCCCTAGAAGCCCCCGATCCGTAACCAGTGGTGCCCAAACAAACTCAAGAGGTTCAGGTGATCCTGGGTTACTGCATACGGGGAGCCCTTTACTTTCCAGCCATCTAGACTGAAGTAGAACCAAGCCACCCCAAGCCAGCCCAAAGACACATCAAAGATCTGCCCTTTGTCGGGCTCAGGGGAAGTGGAGTACTTGTTTGCACTCCTCGACTACGATGGTTCAGGCCACTCGGGTTGGGTGGACCAAATCAAACCTCGCGGATGTTGCGGTCCATGGTGACAGGTGAAGTCAGCTACTCTGAGTTTGTGGATGGCTGCTGGAAGCTGCAGGGCGAGGCCACACTCGACGCAAAATGCATCACAGAGTCCTTGGGGGCATGTGCGGTATTCTGTGGATCAAGCAGACGTCAACCTTGCTCATTTCATGAGGAGAGATACGCTGAATCATTCAGTCACAGCGTGTCAGTGAATGAGCTTGATCCTCGAAAGCTTTCTGTTTGTGTCGTGAGGCAAGAAGCCTCGACATGAAGATTCTGCAGCTTGCAGCTTGGCCGCGTTGTTCTCGTCGAATGACTTTGGCTCACCCTTTGAGAAAAAGCATAAATAAATACTCCATGCTTGCCCAAAGAAGCGCGGGTGTCCTCCTTGACCACCGTGCTCTAGCTGCAGGTAGGCCCTGCACAGGCTATGCCTCATTCCACCATTGCGAAGTCTGCAAGTATTGGCAAGTTGCGGATGTGACGGGTTGACTTCTTGCCAAGGAGATCGAGTCCTTGTCCAAGCTGGTCCACCATGTCCAGAGCTCACGCTGATTGCATGCCATGATTACCGCAGCGACATCATGATGGTGCCTAAGATCACCTAAGCAGCTGAGGTGTTGACTAAGGTCTCCACGGATTCAGTGCCAATAAAGGCGTGGCATGTGACCAGCACAGCGTTCAAAACCGCAGAACACGCGTTTTCGAGATCTTCTCGTTTCCAAGCTCCAAAGGAGCAGGATGGGAAACAGTCGGGGAATGACAGACCCTCAATTTCCGGATGAAAGAGCCAGATCATTTTGTCACAAATCCGTGCGTGCAGTTCTAATCAAGAGCAGAAATTGAATCTGTGCAGTTGTCAGCATTAGAATGTTTCTGGGTCTTCGACAAGTCAAGCGTCACACATCCACCTCAGAAGAGGTGGTGACAATGCCATGGCGAGCTGTGAACTATGGCAGTTACGCAGACGTTTAGTGAAGCGTTGAGCAGATGGGCAATTGAGCGCCCCTTGGCGGTCTCGAAAATCCTTGGCAGACTTTGCCGTTCTCCTTGGTGGGCTGAGGGATGCTGAGGGATGCTGAGGGGAGCATCGGATGGCTCCTGGGTCGCAGGCATCCAGGCTGAGGCTTTTGGCTGCGGAGCCGATCGAAGATGATTCCCAAGCCAGGTGGGTCCCCAGAAACAAAGAACAAGCGCCAATGGTGTTTCGAGGTGTGCATGTGTCGATGGGCAGGTCAGAAGAAAGGAGCTATTTGTCTGGGCCTTCTCAGGCTGCATCGTGTGCGATGGAATTGTCGATGCTGCTCTTGCATGTTGTTGCGCTTGTTCTGTCAGGGCGTCCTTGGATCCTTTGCGCCAGAAGGAAGTGCAGCCATACCAGAGATTCCCGACAAAGACTGCGAGGTGCGGGTGCAATCAATGACACTGGCTGCAGTATGCAGCAAGAGCGGCCGCCCCTTGTGCTGTGATATGCGTTGCGACGTGCCGTGAGATGCCTTTGCCTCAACGATGGGAGCTATATTTCGCAGCCACGGTTCGAAGGCTGGGGGTGGGTGCCAGTGGGTGCAAATCTTCGTCGAGCTCGCTTGCGGATGGAGTCCTGAGCAGGCATCGGGAAAAGTGGGACCCAGACTTGGGCGAGGGCATCTTGGATGGCCCTGAGGCTGGGCTATGGAGACGAGAAACTTTGCCATGCCTGTCTTGCGGAATCCTTTGCAGCCTTTGCATGTACTATCAAAGTACTATCATGTGCTCGGATCTACGCAGGTTGTGGTCGAGCAGCCTGCAATCCCAGCTCGGGACAGCCGTCTGCAGCCTTGGAAGCCTGTTTTGTAGAATTTAACGCCATGACCCCAGTTGCGCCAAGGGCCTCCGAAGCGTGCTCGTCGCGGCAGAGGCACATGTTAATGCAGGGGCGCGAGCATGGATGCGTCACTGCATTAAGCTAATGTTGTGATTCCGATGTGAGCTCTCTTGTCGCATCTATCGTTGCAGGGCTCCTGCCTTTATTTTGTTTGAGCTTTTGTTTGTGTTGCGTATGCTTTTTCGGCTTATGCTTCTTCAGAGTTTGTGCCGCCAGCAACAGTGCACCTTACATGACAGACCCTCGCAACGCTGACGCACGGGAGCAGGCTCGATTGAGTTTCCGTGTTGCCCTCCGGTTCATCCTTGCGTGCCTTGTCAGGGCAGATGGCAGCTCGAGAAACAGACAATCGAAATGCCGCGGCCTTGGTTGGCTGAGGCTATGAGGGGCAGTGGTGAGACGCATTAACTCGCTACAATGCTGGTACGCCTGCTGGCGATTGGCAAGGTTCGAGTGATCCGTGTCGCTGGTGCCGCGAGCCCTAGAGTTTGCAGTCGAACGGCAGTTTGCCATCATCACCGGGATGATGCCTGCGTACTGCAGCACATCTCGGTGCGCCTGTGAAGTGGGCGAGCATCAAACGCAAGCACGGGAACATAGAATCAGATGATTCTTGAAGCAAAGCTTCAATGGTGGGGAAAGGTCTCGCCTGAAATGGGGTAGGCACTTCAGTCAAAAGAAGCCTCCAATTGCGGTCCGGTGCAAGGATAACACATGGATCCCTTGCGACTTGAAGCGAAGCAGGGAACACGTGGTGTAGATTACTGTGATGGCTCTGGCTGTTCGTAGAGTTTGGACACAGTGCATGGTGCAACATGCGTTGTGGTTGGTCCCGGAACTGGTTCGTCCGTTTGTATTGGGGTGTTCGTAGAGACTTGCAGAAGCTCCACAGCTGTAACGCGGTTTATAGATTTGGGCAGAGGGCCTGCGTTTTCATGGCTTCCTCTGTAGCTTCATGATGGTCCAGGCCACCCCACCTTGCCTTCACTTGCAGAGATGCGATCCTTGTCAGTGCTGAGTGCTGAAGAGTAGATTGGGAGTCAGGTGCCGCCATGAACAGTCCACAGCACGATTTACGGTCAAACAGGAGGATTGCACAAGCGGCAGGTGCAGCCGACACATGGAGACCTTGAACACACAAAGGCTTGATGCTCTGGAACGTGCGCCGGAGCCCGTGTCGACTTGCCTCTTCCACGTTGGTCCCACGTTGCTGGGCTCTGCTCAGGTCGAGCCGTCTGGACACGGACCCTCGTGCTCGTGAGACGGACACCCGTGCAGAACCAGTCTGAAGCTACTTCGTTTGATTCCGACGCCACCTCACTGGGTCTGATATCGCCCTGTTGGAATTGCAGGATGCTGATGCCGCAGCTGGACGAAGTCGCGCCTGTAGCTTCGACGCCGACACGAGGCCGTGCAAAAGCAAGCTCTGCTGTAGCATTCGACAGCTGCGAAGTTCAGGCAGTTGAGGTGTGCAGTTCATGTCGCCCAGCTTCAGTTGCTTACATGAGAACGTACAAGAAGCAGTCGCAAAATGAAGCAAGCTCTTCAGCCTAGCCAGAATCGGGAGTTCAGAGCAACATATGAGATAAAGGAGGTCCCTGAGGAAGCCTCACATGGCGCGCCTTCCTGAGCCCTTGCGGTTGTCGGTTACTTGGACATGGATTCGCAGGGCACGTGCTGCTGGTGGCAGTGCTGCCGCCTGTTTCAGACCTTTCAGAAGCAGGTTGAGTCTGGTGCAACACTGGAAGCCTGCTGTGCTGCTGGCTGGGACAGGTCTGGGCCTCTCGGAGTATTGCAAAAGGCCCACGCGCTGTGAGGAAAGCGAAGTTGAGTGGTGGAAGAACCCCGCCCAGTGCTCAGACGCAAGCACTTTGTGGCAGAGGGCATGGAATGCCGACTGGGACGGGCGAGCTCCACCGACCTCCTCGCCATCTGTCAAGACGACCGGGCAAATTCGTCACCTCTTGTTCATACGACATGGGCAGTACAACTTAGATGATGATGAGCATGGGCTGCCTGGCTTAGAGTGCTGAAAGGGCCTCGGAGAGTTCCGAATCCCAAGGCAGAGGCCAGGACTTGAATGTCTCATTCTATTGAGCCTAGGCTCACCGAACTTGGCCGTGAACAGTCAGCGAAGCTTGGGCAGAGGCTGCTTGTCGAACATGGCGGGCTGTTTGAGATGTGAACAGGGAAGCCTCAGCCAACTTGGCAGGCTCTTGGCGGAAAGAATGGGTGTGAAGAAAGACCGATATGGAGAGGTCCAGATTCAATACAGCGGCCGTGAACTCAAGACGTATCTTTCAGGTCCATGGCCATATCGTGAGAGAGTTGGGAATCAGAGTGCTGAGGCATTTGGGTCAGCACTGTTGCCCGGGCGCGCCAAACAGCCGAGATTCTCTCCAGCTACCTACCAGATGTCCCTCTTCAAGACCCGGATCCCCTCCTGGCCGAGGGTAAGCCCACCGTGCCACATCCCACCTCGCAGCCCCCAGCGCGAAATGCCGATTACTGGGAAGACTCTGCCCGCATGGAGGCAGGTTTCAGGCGCACCGGGCATACTTGGAGTGCAGTCTCCTGAAAGTCCATGCTGGCACCTCCTCTCAAGTGGCTCTCTTCAGACGGGCATCTTCAAGACAGTTGCCTCAACCGGGTGTCTTAAAATGGTGGTGCTAGTAGGTTCGAGTCTACTTCCACCCTCTTTCATGTCTATCCTGTCACTTATCTGCCCCAAATCCCCGAAGAGCGTCATCACAGGACTGCACCTGAAGCTGAAGCACGAGAGTGTGAACAGCGGTCTTGTGACGAAGCTCCTATTTAACTTCTTGACCACTGTAAAGACTCTAACTCTTCTCCTCACGTCTCGAGGAGGCTTCTGTATGAGTGGCCTTCTCACATGATTCGGCGGGCCTCGTCGCAAGCATGCTTTGTTTTCGACCTTTTGCAGGAAGTTTGTGCACCGCGATGTCGATCACAAACGGCTTGCCGAGAAGCAGGCGAAAAGGGAGAAGAAGCTCAAGCAGGAGCTGGGAGAAGGACTTGATTGCTAGAATCGATAGCTTTGGGACATCGGGTAGACTGTGTCACTGAAGGCCACACACAATACGTGCTGAAGGATACGTTCCTCCGGAAGCTCCTGACAAGGGCGAGGCAAAGGAGGCAGAGAAGACGGAGGTCGAGAAGGAACCGCCGCCACAGCACGTCTACGAAATCTATGCGCCTTGGGCGCTTTCATGGGTTTGGTGCATCAGTTCATAGCAGCTTCGCTTCTCTCATGCCTCTCACATGATGCTTATAGAAAGCTGTCATAAGCTGCTATGCATGGAGCATGTGGCAGCTGTGCGGATCACAGGTGTGCCACATGAATCTGATACGCTATTTCGAAGCTCGGATGCAAGCCTGCAACAGTTTTTTTTCTCCGCATGCGTTGCAAACATGCGGCTGCGATCCTGGACTGCTTACACTGCTTGCTGTCCTCACATGTCTTTAGTGTTGGAGGTCATGAGAGCGCTGCAGCTTCCGCCAGAAGCTTGGCTCCGCCTCAGAGGCGACAATACGGGCATCACCGAGAGTCTCGGCAGCGAGCAAGCCAGTATGCACTCTATGCTCCCAATGGTGCATGTCGGCGCATGTGCGCGCGTGTGGTCTTTTAAAAGCAGTGGTTATGAAGCTCTGGCTGCTATTTTGTATTGGAGGCACTTGTTTGGCATATGCGGTTCTTCTTTGCTGCAATCCAAATGTAATGTGTTGGCAATTGATCGACAAGTTGTGTTGCGGAGGATTATCATCCATCCAAATGGGAAGCCTGGCCGCACATTGAGCCGAGGCAAGTGCGGCGCCGTTTCCTTGAAAGAGTTGTTTCAGTCATTTGTCAGCTCAGAGTGTGGTAATGACAATAGTGTTTGTCGAGTTCTCCTCCTAGGCGGGTCAGCTTGAATCGCTTTGCCGATGTCGGGCACCTGCCGATCCAGATGGTGACCTTCCATTGAAGCGTGTCCAAGGACGAGGAAGGAGCACGGCAGGAAAGGAAGAAAAGAAGCTGCTGAGTGCAGAGAGCTGGCCGCAAGAATCTGTATGGCCCTGTGCGACACTGTCAGCACCGCGCCGACACGGTAGCCTTGGTCACCGTTGCAGGTCTTCCGCGAGCAGCCGGCCTGACTTGCACCTGCCAGTGCAGGACCCGTCCACAGCATTCAACAACATCAAAGGATGCCGGGTGTTTCCTACAGTAAACAAAGTCATTCAGATTCAAAATAGAATGCTCATGCGCCCATGCCAGCCCTTCAGACAGATTCTGGTTCCATCAGTGACCACTCGATTGAACCCACCTGCTGAACAGAACTTGAGCATAGTCGGTTTGATCCAGTTTCTCTGCCAGGGGAGTGGCAAGAGCAGCATCGGCTGTGCACAGCTGGCTCAGCTCGAAAGAGCTTTAGCGGCCTTGGGCTCAGGGATGTCTCTCAGTCTCAATTCGGGCCTTTGAGTTGGACTACTGTTGGACTGTGAGCCTGCCTTGAGGACACCACGCTGCTGCAAAGTCGTGCGACCGCAGCGCTGGAGAGAATTGCCAGGCCGCGCCGAGGGATGGGACGCTCATCCTTGAATCGAGGCTTCATTGTGGGAGGTCAGGCTGCTGAGAAAGCCCTTGCATCTATTACTCGCGTGATCCAAGTCCTTTGGCTGAGAATTGCCCTCACTTCGCTCACCAGCCATCGGGAGCCCAAGTAGCATATACCAACGCGTAGCAGCACGAGATGACCAGGCTGTTTCCAAAGGCTTGCCTTCTACTTTGTTCTCAGGTACAGTTGGAGTAGTACGACCATGTTTCCGTGTTCGTAGCGAGTTCATGAACTCGTGGAGTCATCCAAATAGCGGTAATGACTCCGTTTCTCCTCCGCGTAAACGTCGAAAGTTGTCGTAGAAGAACATGCATCCGCACCTGCTTTTTCAAATCTCGTGAAAGGGCTCTCGGGTGCTGGTAGAACTTTTTGGTTCAATGGTGGAATGAGCTCGGCATCGTCTGCGTCAGCTAGTGTATTCCCCTTCTGAATCGATGGGCGGCACCTCTGGCACCTTTGAACACGGAGCCCGTTTTCTCTTGCGGGTCTCAGTGTCAGGCAGCAATCGGCTCTGAAGCGCATCCCTGTGGCGTGTCCGTCATGCGGCTGCCTGAACGTCCAACCCCCAACTGCCGCCGAGAACGAAAGGCACAAAAAGGCACATGAAGGCACCCTTAAGCTGTCGCGACTGTCGTGAACTCAGGTCCCTCAAGGCTCTGCCTGGCACACCGGTGACCTCGTCTCTTGCCAGGAGTGCAGCTCTGCACTTACAAAGTCCACCAGCCATGTGGGCAGAGTGACTTTGAACTGGCCGGTAACGTTTCAGCGGATGTCAAAGGTCAGCCGTTCCTGCCATTGAGCAGCTTCCAGGCTGGTTCGGCCTGCAAACTGCATTGTTGAGAAACTGAGAAAGAGTGTAGAAAGTAGAAAACGTGCCCCCCAGGTCAGGGAAGATCTTGCTGTCTTAAAATCGGCAGTCCAGCGCCTCCGGGATCAACAGGCTGGACATGGCTGGACCTGCGGAGAAAGTGTACATTAGCAGGTTCGCCCTCCTGATGGTAAGGAGCGCATTCAGTACTTGGAGTGCCTCGCCGCAAAGGGCAGGCAAGAGTCAACGAGCCCTCTGGCAAAGAGCGCAAAGAGCCTCGGATCTGAGTGGAAAGATTTGGCTGCCTGATGTTGTGTGATGTTGTGTTCAGCCTGCCTGGCTTAGCAGAGGACGCCAGCTTCAGAGCCGGCAGAGGATTACTCTGCCACGTGAGCTTTGCAGATAGTCTCAAGAGTGTACCACTTGGATCTGACTGTTTTGGGCAGGACGCGGCGGTGCGAAAGCTGCCGGCACGTGGACCCATGGCATCTCCGCTCTTTCCCCCGCAGATCATGAGCCCAAGACAGGCAGGGCAAGGCAATGCAAGGCAATGCAAGGCAATGCAAGGCAATGCAAGGCAATGCAAGGCAATGCAAGGCAATGCAAGGCACAAGGCAATGCAAGGCAATGCAAGGCAATGCAAGGCAAGTGCTCGAAGTGTTCGCATGTTGTTCGAACGTTTGGCCATTGGAATGTGAAGGTCGGACAAGGGCCCCCAACAGACTCCACGGAGTCCCCAGACGCATCCCCTGAGCTCTGAGCTCAAGTCCACCGACGGGAAAGAGTGGCGTAGGCATGTGCCGCGCGTGGCATGCGAAGGCTGCTTGGGTCATTTTGGGCCCCGAGGCATCCCTTCCTGTCACCTTGCTCGCCCTGCCAGAGGCGCGAACTTTGCTTTGTTCCGTGTGCTTGTTCTCTGCCTCGCAGCATAGGAAGCGTAAGGAGCATAAGCAGCACGAGCAGGCCTTGCCACATGTCAAGGCTCCAGCGAGTCGGGCTCCACGAGTTGGAGCCGATTTTGCAGGAAAGCCCCTCTGCAGGAGGCATCTGAGTTTCTGCATGCCCTGGAGATCCGTGGAGATGCCGGGAGATGTTGCGATGGTTGAGGGTTCTCCGCTTGACCGCTGCCCCTGGCGTAGGTGCCACGTCCAGCTCCCCACGGCTGATGGAGAAGGTGCAAGACAGGCCGACAAGAGTTCTCCCCAAGGTAAATTGATTGGGCCGTGGGGATTCAACTTCCACCCTGAGATAGCTTTCAGGTCGAACACTGCAGGAGCGCTCACGGTCTGCCGATTCTGTGAAGACAAAACGCGGTTCGGGGAGTGACTGTTGCACGTGCCGGGTGGAAGGAGAGGCTGCGTCCCCACTGAGGGCCGGCCAGGCGGTAAGCTGTGACATGACTTGGGGATTTTGCAGAGTGTTGCAGAAGCAGAAAGGCTGGTGACAAGCCGCTGTCTGTCCCTAAGACTGAGATACACCAAGCTTCGTTTGGAGACCTGAGCGTCGCAAGGATTCTGATGCCCCTGCTGGACACACAAGATCTACTAACCAACAGTTCATCGTCCTCAGCTCCGCAGTAGCCTCAAAGGCAAATGTGAGTCCTGTGTCCCTGCGTGGCTTTCCTGCCGAGGTTGTGCTTCCACGGAAGCAAACTGTCGAAGTGGCAGATGGTTGGATGCCCAGCCCATGGAAGACAAAGGGGCCCGTTTGTGCTTAGCTGCTTGCTTGGTTTTTTGCTTGGCTTTGGCTTGGCACTCTCCCCTAAGCCACTTTTTTTGAACCGCGCAAGCTTGTTTTGAAGAGCATCATGCCGTCAAGGGGAATTGCTTCCACGCCCATATGCATTTGTCCCCACCCCGGCATACGAGCATTGTGTTGCAAGCTGGGGGTGGATGCACACGCCCCACACGCCCCAACCCCCTGGTCTTGAAACCGTGCACGCCCGTTTTGAGATGTTTTGAGATGTTTTGAGATGTTGTGAACATCATGCCGTCCAGAGGGTTTGCTTCAAAACCCATATGAATTTGTTCCACCCCCCCTCCCACTTTTTTTCTCTCCCCCGCAGGCTTTGGAGAACAGGGAAATTGTTTCAAAGTCCATAATCATATGAATTTCTTCCCAACGCCTTGTTTTCATGCATGCCTTGTCACCTCGGTAAGGGAGTTAAGGGGGTGTAGCCGGCCAGTTGCAGCTCTTGCACGATGTGCACTTTTTGCACTTTTTGCATAATCATGGTTCACGGTGTTTTGGCAATGGTGTATCTAGGACTTCTTGTATACGTTTTGTCTGTCAGGCTTCCAAGCCCAGCAGTCCAGACATGAGCCCAGCACTAGCAGCTCTTGCGAGTGGCTCAGGACACCGAACAAAAGACCAGGGAGGCGACAGTCCAACAGACGTCATGCAAGAGCGTAAGATCTCGTTGTGGCAATAGACGTTTGTATTGGCAGAAGCGCGCAATGTTTGAGAGGCACTCCAACAGATGCGGCACAAGTCCTTTGGTCCCAAGGGCCGAGCCAGAAAGGAACGTGGAAAGCTCAGAGTGCTCCAATGTTAGAGCCTCGAGGCGTTCTAGGCAGAAGCTTCAGAGTCCCGCCACCAAGAAACGTAGAGTCACAGAGCCTCGGGTGCGTGGAGCACAGGAATCCAGTTGTTCATATGTATAGAGATATTATCCGTATATACGTATGTACATGTATGTCTGTATGTATGTGTGTATGTATGTCTGCATGTATAGCATCTACACGGTTTCTTGCCTTGAGGTGCTGTGTAGCATTAAGATGTCAGCGGTGTGTGGACGCCCGGGGTTGCAGGTGAGGAGGGCGAGATCGCTTCGGCGTCGGAGTCGGAAGGGTTGGAGCCTCGGAGTGGACGACCCATGCCACTAAGACGAAAACTGTACACCTTCCCTGCCACAAAGGTCCAGGCTGACCAGTTGGGACGCCAGGCGGGTTTACTAGGTCTCCTGTCATGCTACTCTTGGACTGTTGCGCTGAGCAGGCCTGGATCCTTGGTGGCCGGGCATCAAGCTCTTCAGAAGGGTGTGCGTACACCTGAGTGCCGCATCTGCGCGAAGACGCATTCCCAGCGCCTAACCATCGAGCAAAAGGATTCAAGTACAAAATCTGCTCAGGCCAGCCGGCACACCAGCAAAAAAGGAGGACAAGAAGAACACAGGTGTTTGGAATGCTGTTGTCTTTCACCTGAGTATCGCCTGGATTGGCTTGCTTATCGGTAATTTGTGCTCCATGTTTTGACACAGCCTCTTGGCCAAGCGTCGGCTCAGAGCGCTTTGCCCACGTGCGTCTCGCATGTCACTGCTTTCTTTCATTTTGATTGTAATTCATTTAGCCTACGTTCCCGGTTGTTTCATCGCAGAGCCTACACGCTGTCATCCCATCGTCACAGATACTGACTTTCACATATGTTATATGGGATGTTCCGTCATGAACTTGAAACTTGGAGAACGCCAGCCCCAAGAAGTATCATCCACATCACTTTCGTGCGGAAATCCTGCACCACGGTCCTGCAGCCATGGCAGAAGAGCCCGGGCCTGCGGGGGCACTGGTGGAAGATGACCAGTCACCAGCAGAAACCTGGCATATGCATGGGCGACGAATATAAGAGTTAAGAGTGCGGAGAGTGTGTCGCGACAAGCATCTTTTTGTGGAACCAAGGACCTCAAAATCATTCTTTGTGGAGACTCTGCCGTCGGCAAGTCCAAAATGGTGGAGCGGTTTCTTCTCGACGCCCGCCTTTTCTGTCTTCCTTCGGTTCCGGTCCTTCTTTGAAACATGTCATGCACTGTGCATAGCGGCATAACGTTCTCTGAACCCAGGATGACTATAATCCGCGAACCTTGTCGACCTTCGCGTTGACGCTCTTCCGATATCACCACACTGGCGAGGACAGTCACGGACCAATACGCAAGCGCATCGCTGCGAATGCTTTGCAGGGGTCTGTATGATGTGGCTCAGTCATCATGGAGTCCTGATGTCGAGTATGAAAAGCATCCCTGGAGCTGCATTGTGGAAGGATGGCAGAAGATGGACCATAGACTTTTGGGACACCGCTGGACAGGAGCAGTTCGACAAGTTACATGCATCATACTATTTCCAGGCCACTTGTCTGGAGAGTCCTGAATTTTGAAGACTGCGCGCCACTGCTAGTCGCAAGCGCTAACACCCTGAGATCATGCCCTCATGCCCTTGAGGCGAATGCTTGCATTCTTGCCTTTGACGTCACGCGGAAGATCACATACAAGAACTTAGAGACGTGCGCAACTCTGGTGTTGCTGATTGAGTGCTACATCATGTGCGTTGTGAACCCTTGCATACCTACCGGCTTCGGGTGACTCAGGTGGTACAAAGAAATTCGCAACTACTGTGCGCAGCAAAGTTTCGACGGCAGTAGCTGAGAGCGCAGTGAATGCTCTGGAGGTCTGATTGCCCAATGTCCCCTGAGGTCCAGATATCCCCGTGGTTTGTGTAGCCAACAAGATTGATGTGGAGCCCACCATGGCGAAGAAGCGGTTCAACTTCCCAGTCACTCACCAGCTACCGTTCTATTTTGCGGCTCGGAGTGAAATGCTTCTTTTGAGTACTTTGAGACAGCCCAACTACATTGCCCGGATCGCCCGACCGCTTACCGTTTCTTCTTCGTCTGGAGCTGCTTTCGTCTGGCGAGGTCTCCTCAGCTGATGGGACCAACGTAGTGCGAGTCTTCAAGGAAGCCATCTCCTTGGCAATCAAGAACAAGGAGAACCCTCCTGATGAGGTCATGGATCCCCGGCTATCAAGGTTAAATTAGAAAAATGGACCGTGGCAGCCAAAGCATGTCAAAGTTGCACAAGAGCTGCAGAAGCCCCCCAAAAGCCCAGGCCGAGATATATGCGCTTCTCGCAGAAGACGACCGCCCGACCAGAGAGGAGTCGGAGGCCGCCGGCTATGATGATGCTGGGGATCCTTCACCGGTTCCTCGTCGTTCTCTGGGAGCACATCTGGGAGCCGTGTCGTCACAGTGTGGGTATGTTTGTTGCCGTGCTGAGGTCAGCGAAGAGGGAGGGGCGGCACCTGCATAATTCTTGCATGAGCCTTCGCCTCCCATTGCGCAACAAGCATGGGGCTTGGGGTCCAGTTTTGCTTCAACTGTTTCAAAGAAAGCGGGTAGCAGCGCTGCAGCTCAATGAGATGTTGTCGTGCAGCTAGACTTTTCAAACGCCATATCATGCCGGAGATTCTGTTCTGTTGAGTCAAGGGGTGATGGGCGAGCAAGAGCAACGAGCTCTGAGATTGGAGCAGCTGCCTTAGTAGGCCAGGCCCTCCTTGAGGCATGCAGAGGTCTTGCGGAAAGGCTGGGCCATTTACCATGAAAGTGATCGAAAGAGATCGTACAAACCCGGAGTGGAGCGAGTCGCAGTTTCCGCAGGGAGGTCTGCCCGGAATACTTGGTGTCGGCCAATGTTTCACCTGGAATCCCGGTGCGCTATCGTAGTTCCCTTCGCGTGAAGGTTCAATGACGTCCAAATTCGGAAGAAGCCACGCACGGCCATGCAGTATATATACCGGAGTTTCTGGAGAATGCGCATTGAAGAAAAAGCATCCTGGGAGCAAATTTGAACTGTACTAACTCAAGGCAGGACTATCGCGGGCAGGTTGTGTAGAAAAAACAGGGCCCACATGCCTGCTGGGAAGGTGCTGTGATGCGGGAGCACCATCCAAGGCGAGTTCTTACCTTCTGCTCGTTTGGGCGATTGTGCTGGAAATTGGCCGGCAACAGATACAGAAATACAGATAGGCAGCGGCTTGTGAGGCCGACCGCTTCGGTTGTCGAGGCTGTCGGTGCTTTTCCAAAGTGGTCTTGGGCTCATACATGAACAGTTACTGGCAGCATGGGGTGCTTGATAGTGCTTGTGAGCTGTCGAACTGGCCTCGTGGGGCCGTTCAGCTCAAGCAGCCAATAGCGGGCCTCAAGAATCGGCACTCCTCATGTGCCGAGCAGTCAAATGATGGTGGAGACCTCCCTGTGCTCCCTGTGCCCGACCACGAGATGTCAACAAGCAGCACAAGAGAGTCGCCACCAAAGGGTCCAGAGAGACTCGGTCTGCAGCGTGGAACGGATGTCGGAGGCGCATGAAGGCGTTGTCTGGCATGTTAGATGTTTCTGGGAAAAGGCAGAAAGTGACACAAGTACGCAGAAGACGCCCGAAGCACTCAAGGGACAAGAAGATGGCCGCGCTCACGGTGCTTGCTCCTGTCCGGGCCTGAATCTCCAAACTTGGCAAAGGTTTCGTCGCTCCTTGAGAAGCGATTAGCAGAGGCCAGCTGGCTGAATGCCCGAGGTCACTGGTGGCTCTCGTGCAGGCGGCCTGCTTCCTCGATATGTATGAGGCCCTGATCGGCAGCTGTGACTGTACCTGCGAGAGCCATTCCAACGTGATGCAGGTTCAACATCCGCTCGACCGTGGTGGCGATTTCTTTTTGCTTCCCATTTGGAAGCTGGTAGAGCCCGTGGCCTGCTTTGCAAGTCTCGTGGATGCAGAAGATCGCCTGGCATCATGCGAATTGCGCAAATCATATCTCCAGCGCTTTCTCCATCTTGTTCTTGAGCCTTCTTCATGGTTTAGCTTATAAAGATCGCAGTGATTCACCCAAGAAAGAAGGTTCTGTCCTCTTCTGGCCTGTGCGATTCCAGCTCCGGCTGCAGTCTGGCATGGCGAAGGCGGAGCGAAGTCTGGAGCCGGGACGGACCGTGGACTTGCACGAGGCCCCCTCTTAAGCCCCTCTGTCTTGCTCCGCGTTTAAGCGATGCTCTCCAAATTCTCCTCTGATCTCCTGTGTATTTTGTATTCTGTATTCTGTATTCTATATTCTGTGTCTTTTGGTATCTGTGTACGTGAAAGGCAGGCGTCCTGTTAGCTGTGCGGGTAGTTGGATGCAACCACCAAGGCACTGGACCGAGCCTCGCGGCAAAGCTGCGACACCCTGCGAGACCTCTTCCAACTTCAGAATCCCTGCCCACAAACTCTATTGGTTCACAACAGCCGTCCACACGCCTCGATCCTGCCGTCTAGATTTGGCCATGGCCGTGTGCTTGTAGTCACAGATGCTCTGGTCGCACACCTTCCTGATGCCGGGTTGAGATTTGTGGTGGGCCGTGAGATAGGTCGCTCTTGGTTGCGCCACGAAGATCTGATTGCGGCGTGGACGCTGCAGCATTTCGTGCGCAAGATGATCCTGCTTCCACTGCATGTGCTTGGAGTTCGGCCGGTAGTTCGTTCTCAGCCCACAAAGAGGCCAGATGAGATTCAACGGCGTGTGCAGTTCCGGCGTTTCGTAGATGCTATGGCCGATGCGTGCGACGTGTACAGGGGTCTGCGGTCAGGCCGCTGGCCTGGGCTTGCCGATCTTGACGTGGACAGTCTATGGAATATATGGAATCCCGGATTCCGTGGACAGCTTAGACATGGCGAGGACGGCATGTTTACGCTTGCCGCCGTTTGCTCACGACTGCGGGCCCCAGGAGGCGCATGGGCTTTGGGCGCGGCCGTGGCCGGTTCTGTGACTCCACGGCTTTTGGCGGAGGTTTTCTCATTGCCTCTTCACGAGGAGCGGCAGCTGCGGCGCTGTCTTCGTTTTGGCTCTTGGGGTTTGGGCCTCTGGGCAGCAAAAGCACGAGCCGAAGTCTTTTCAGCAGATCGCATGGGACTTATTGCGGCTGGTGGTGACTTGGATGCTGCCTTGAGAGCTATGGTGGCTGCAGCAAACTCCTTCAATGATATTGCTACTGCTGCGCTCGTTGGCGTCGACGAGCTGGTCAGGCAGGCACAATACTTAAGCTCTGTGATACCACCGTCCTACTTGTCCCGGCAACCGTCTCTCGCTGCGAGAGTAGCAGACTTATCCTCTTGGGCGTACTCACCGGTTGCACATAGCGCGTTCCGACATCAAGAGAATCCCTCGGCAGCAACGAGAAGGCGCTGAAAAAGGAGTGCTCGGGGCTGGCAAGCAGACCAAGCTGGCATCATAGTGTTTTTGTTGAGGTTTTTGCTGATGCTGCTGGCCTGCTTTCTTGCGGTTGCTTTCATTCGGCATCTGCTGGGTGCTGAGACATGTGTCTGTCATCATATCTTGTCATGACTTAATCCGATCCGAACAAATTGCAAGTGGTCGCAACTGCCGATCGCCAGCCCCGAGGCTGCACAGATTGGCGCAGAGGCTTCAAGGAGAAGCTGTTGCATCCGCCGTCCTGACGGCCCTACCCTTCGATTCTTCGCGACTCTTCGCGACTCTTCGAGCCTGCGAGGGTGTTCCCAGACTCCATGACTCAGGCGATCGTAACTGGGACGGCAATGCACCTCTGGCGACATGCTGAGGAGATGGCGGCGGCCTGAGTGAGTGTTTGCTTGAGCTTACGGCCCTGATGGAACATGAGGGTTTCATGCGTCCCTTAGCGCCGCTCTATGTCACAGGTGCAGAAGCAGAACATGCTGGAGACTTCCCGCGGAGAATGGAAACATGGCATTGCCGATCGCGCATGGTTGTGGGATGTTGTGCGGTCCATTTGCTGTGTTGAAGCGCGGTGCTCTGCAGGCCTTCGTTGCTTAGTCTCGAGGATGCCTGTGCAGTTTCAGAAGCAGAGCTCCAGTTTGTGTCGACAGCTTGCGGATGCTTGTGGTTAATGTCTAGAGCGCCTCGTTCAGAGCCTGTGCCAACTGTGCGATCCATGCTTGCTCGCGGGCGGCACCTTCTGAGAAGATTGCATGCAGTGCCAGGTCTGCCTAGAACGGACCTTTATGGGCAGCACTTTGCAGTTGAACCTGGAAGAGGCCCTCGGTGTTTGAGCAGACACAAAGTGGGCAAAATCGAGACAGAAGAGTCGGGGTCGGGTAGGGGAATGGCATGTACAAGGTCCACTGTGCTGACAAGCTGCACAACATTGCACAACCCAACCCCAAACCAATCTGCATGCGTGCACGAGCTTCCATGATGCCGGTAATGTCGAGTGATTAGTCTGACCCACATCTTTGGGGCAGCCACACAGGGTTGAAGACATGTGAGTTCCACTGGTCCACCTTGAAGATACCAGTGGGCTCAAAAATCGTGGTCCCGGTGCACTACGTGCTGGCAAGACTGTAGACAGATGACCTTATGCATCATGTAGGCCAGTGAGGCCAACAGAAGGCTATCCCATCCCGAGAAGCGACGCTGCATCCCACATCAGGGCCCATCGATGTACCAAGCAAGCTGTGTTTGAGCTGTTTCGGTCGTTGCCCGGCCCCAATTCATTTCGTGGCTGCCAGTGCATGCCATGTGCTAATTCCGATGTGTTCGGATCCGTTCTGCAGATTCTCGTTGGGCCTCGCGGACCCGTGTGAGCGGGACGTGGCTCCACCATGTGGCGTTGTTTTCCAAACAGTGCAGAGGATGTAGGCACTGTGGGTCCCAACGTTGGAGGTAAGCACGCGGCGACTGGGTGGCTCTCGCCGCATGGTGCTTGTTTGCGGCGCTTGTTTGGGGTGCTCTTGCCTTGGCGTGGGTGCGGGCTTGATTGCCGGATCGGGGAATCACAGTCCGCATAGTAAAAGAAAACGGTTAACGGCATCTTCGTCATCAATGATGCTTGCTCTTCTTGGATGTGCATTGGGGAGGTGCTCTTGGAACATGCTTGAAGTTGTCTTACAATGTTTACAGCCTAACAGTCTGTGCAAGCTAATTACGTTGAGAGCGAGAGGGAGATTGAGCGCAAGATCTCGACACATGGCCGGTGGCCACAGCGGCCACAGCCACACATGGCCCCAAATGGCCCCAAATGGCCCTCCAGAATCCTTGCAAATCTTTCAATGACCCTTGCGATGGCACCAGGCTTTGGGCCTTTCTGCTGCTTTGGCACAGCTTGCTCCAGCGACAGCCCTTGGAGAGCCGAGCCACGTTGGTATGGCCGGAAGTCTTGGAACTGAGGTTTTCCTCTTCGAGAATTGGGGCATTTATGGACTGTCAAACCTGTCATGTGGTTGCTGCCGGCCGCTCTTGCCTAACAATGGAGCCACTTGCAGGACCTCCAGCATGCAGATGGGCTGCTGTTGTGGCCCATGTGGTGTGGCACTGATTGGTTTCTGGAGGTTGGATGAGTTGCAATCAGGCAAACTTCCCCTCTATATCGAGGCAACGGCCATCATCGTCATGGTTGGTGTTCGCAACAAGCTGCTGAACAGCTTCTGTACTGTCCGTTGCTTGAAACGCTAGAGCAAGCAGGTTGAGTTGAGTTCAGCTGTCGTTCTCACGTCTTGAAAGCTTGCCTGGCTTTGCTGCCGGGTACGCAAGTCCAGTGACCAAGCACAGTATAAGAGCAGGCTTCAGCAAGAGCGACCGTTGATGCGCCAAGGCCACGCCTGCTTCTAAGGACCCTGCTCCAGAGGCCTCCCGAACTTTAATTGAAGGCGCCGATCTGCTTGTCTCTTGCCATGCAGGTGCTGGAAGTTTGCGTCGGATTGGCTGTTGGCAACTGGGTGGGCTCTCCAGAACCACCGCCGCCCCCGTAGTGTGTCAATGTCTCGAAAGGCCGCATCCTCCTGGGCAGCATCAACCTGGTGGCATTTAGCCAGCTCAAGCTCGGCGATTGGTCTGCAGGCGCAAGAGGGCGCTTGCCAGACATGTGGCGTCCTTTTGCACCCCAATCCGAACCGTTGAGACATCCAGAGATCGATTTCAGAGAGATGTGAGGTTAGACTTCCTGTCCTGGCTCTTGCTTGTGCACAGCTCACGAACTTTTGGCCCGTGCTCTCAGGTGCTGAGCTGCAGGGATCTGCTACTAGCATGCGACGCATGTGGTGTTTTTTCAATGGGTTGCTTCGCTGTCTCTGAGGTTGGCGCGCCGTTCACGGCAACCTCACCTTCTTGCTGTTTGTGCGCCTATAAATGCTCAAGTGCAGGCTTCTCGAAGCAATTTTGTATCACACTTGTGGGGCAGGTGTTGCGCTCGGAGGGCTTTCGATGGCGAAATGCCACGGCCACAGTCACCACCGCCACAGACCTTTCCGGTGAAATCGTTGGGTTCTGCGATGTTCTGCACGATTCCTCCGGAGATAGTTTTTGCATGAGGGGAGGGTGTACAGTGTACAGATTGCGCAGAGGTCCCCAATCACCTTATTTTCTGGTCCACAGTTGCTACGCAAGTGATTGTGTCGCGACACAGCGGGCTGCAGGTTGTTGCGGGGCACCTGGCATGGCGCAAGCACCCAGAGGGGCCATACTACTTGCCACATGTCTGACCGAAGCGGTTACCAGAAAGATTGAGGTTCGCAAGATGTCTTGCGTATTGCTTGTGCGACTATTCCGAGCCAAGGTGCTGGAGACGATGAGTTTGTCATCTTCCTCCTCTTTGTCCAAATCTTACACTAGCCTGCACAGCATGTTGGTGTGGCACAGCATGGAGGAGACAGTTGCAGCTTCCGCTCTGTGACCTGACGAGTCGAGGCTGATGACTTCTGGAATCTATGTCCTGTTTTGTGCTGTGAGTGCTTTGCTTCTGTTCCAGGACGGGCAGTGCATTCCTAGCTTTCCATCTTTTTGTTCTCGTGAGAGAGCGGACGGTGCCTTGACCTGCAGGAGTTGTTCAACTCATTGTGAGCTCTCCTTCACAAAGTGAAGGTTGGGCAGAGGTGAGCTTTGAGCATCTCCGAAGAGACGGATACTTGGACCACGTGACACTTCACGGTTTGGTTCCTCTAGCTGGGACCAGATGCTCAAGAACATCTCAGTTCTTTTAATTTGGCGCTTTGCGCAGTATCGCGCTTTTCATCATGAATGGCTCGGGGCGTGGTTTCTTTGCGCTTCGAAGCGCAAGAGTCCTCGTACGTAGCTTCAGTGTCTTAGAGGCGCTGACGGCGTACACCTGTCGGCTTTGAATGAATGGGGAAAGGCTGCGCGAGTTCAATCAGAGATTGATGTTGCAAGAGTTCCGCATGTAGCGAGCCACAGGCGTCACTGGTGTGTCCTCTCCAGGCTCAAATCACATTCAGGTTCATTCATTTCGAAGCAACTCCTGGGCGTTCTGTGCCTGGGACCACGGATTCTCGGCAAGGACCGCGAAGCACCATCGCCCCTACTAGTCACTACAACGTCCTGTGCGCATTCCTTTCCGAGCGTGCACAGTCACGGGCGCATATGCCACAGCTCAGGAAACCCGCTTGCGCGCTTGGTGTGCTGCTTCGGGCCAAGCCCCTTGTTTTTTCAGCGGGTTCTTATGGACTTATGGACTCTTCATGCAGGCAAATTGCGGTAAGAGCTGCTGCAAGTGCGAGCTGAACTTGCGTGGAAGCACCTGGACACAAGAGCTGTCAGAGGCTGTCAGCTTCGCTTCTCTTCAGGCCTTCACGAAGCCAACGACATCGCGAGGCACACGTGTGAGCGGAATGGCAACGGTGGTCGGACCCCCAGCTCCTTGCACTGATGTTCTATTGTCGCGGCACTGCGTTATTGGAATGACGCCGTTCACATTGAGGCAGCGTGCCCACCTCCTGAGATTTTGCCTGTAGGACAGGGGTGAACGTTGCCCGAGCTCGAGAAGTTTGGCAGATTCCCCCAAAGATGCCCAGATGCTCCAGGAGTGCCAGAACCTGCAGAGCCCACCGACTCAGCACCTGTCGGACCCGTGCGCAAGCTCAGTTCGAGGCTTGAGAGTTTTATGAGAGTTTCGGAGGTTGACCAGTGTTTCACACTTGGAGGGCACGAAGCCATTTGTGGTCGTTGTTTCTTGGATAGGACGATTTGAAATGCACTCAGTACAGTCGTGCAACACTTCGAGGAACACAGTTGAACTGAAGATTCCAATTTGCTTTCTCCTCCTTACCCTTCCCCAGCAAAAGCCTCCCAGAAGGGATCCCGCACTCTGTGAGTAGTGCTGCGGCAATGATGCGGCTGCCTGTTTTCGGCATGCTAAGGTGATCAAGCCCCCTGGAGGAGAAGAGCTTTGGGAATCGGCAGGGTGCTCGACAGGGAGCCGAGATCCGGGATCTTTCGTAAGGGCTTTCGGGTGGGCTTGTCATCACTCAGGTCAAGGTGGGCACCTCAGGATGAGAAGGGGCGTCCGAAGGACAGCAAGCAACTCTGATACTGGCCAATTGCTGCATGAGGCAGTCGTATCACGACCCTGGGAGCAAAAGAAGGTGGGGCCACATACGAGTTGAAGCATGCGCGGGCAGTTCATGAGCTGACGACGACTTCATTGCTGAGAACGGACTGGCAGGACAATGACGTTGCTCCTGCGCTGGTGGTCTTCGACTGGGTGGCTGCCTTTTGTGTGTTCTGCTTCACGTTTGCATGGCATTCGGAGCGGGCGACCTTTGTGTTTTGTGATGAGGACGACACCATACTTCCCACTGCGGCCCTGGTAGCGGCTAAGCGCATTGCGTAAGCACCCCAGCTGCCTCGCAGAAAGCTGCTCGCCCGACACGCTTGTGGTTCAAATGTGTCAGAAGAGGCCGGCGCCAGGAAATCCTGGCGAGGCAGCCACCAGTGGGGCCCGGGCTTCTTCGCTGCTCAGCGACTGGGCGGGGGCCAACATGAGCTTCGAGTTCGCTTGATGTGCGCTGCCTGGACGGAGCTTCAAAAGTTCAGATCTTGAGTTCTGGCAGGATTTCGACTCCTATCTGGAAGCTTGTGGGGTTGCTGCACTCCAAGCTCTCCAGAAGGCGCTTCTTCGCTGGCTTCCTTCTGGGCTGCGACGTATCTGCCCTGTGGAGGCCAAGCGCTTCGGCCGGGTCAGCTGCCAAATTGAAGCAGCTTAAGACAAAGCGTTTCCGTGTGTTCCACTTTTATGTACCGCAACATGGGCATGAATTGCGCTGCTTGCTTAACCTGATTGCGTTTCCATGGCTGTAGATCCTTCGCGGCTTCCAAGCTTATGCTGCAGCGTCTGGCTCAAAAGAGTGGACAAGTGTGGCTGTTGAGAACACGGTAGGCCGGTATTTGCAAGACTCAAGCACTCAAGTGCAGAAAGTTGTACCTTGTCGCTGGCAGGATCCATGGAGCAGCTATTTTTAGGTAAGCCTCGGGCCAGATAGTGACTTGGCTAGACCAAGACCCTGCTGCTATGAAGGGCCTTTGCACCCTCTCGAGCTGTTCGAGCTTCGTCGCGAAGCCACCTGACCTCAGTCACACGGACCTCGGTCAGAACATTCCCTCGGACCCCACAGAACGCGTGGATAAGGCCTCAAGCTTGCTGGACAACTTGGGAAGGAGCTTGCGAACAGTACGTCATTCTGCCGATGAACTTGCAAATGCTGGTGCCATCCTTGCCGAGAAGGGAGATCGAATGGCGGATGTGGCAAGCTACATCAAGGAGGCAAGAGCACATTCAGGGAAGATGCAGGCCAACATTGCCGACATCCTGCGACTCATCAAGGACATGAAGAATGCATCAGAGGCTGGAATGAGCTTGCCAGCTTGCCTCCTTGCGTCTGCCACGCCGCCTGCGACTCAAGTGGCGCGCTCGCAGTCCAACTCGATGCTTGCCTCTCGAGGCAGCAGAATGCCTATGCGGGCACGAGCCCGCTTGGAAGACATCCTTGCATTTCTGTGAAATCGGAGTTTCTGAAAATGCAACACTGTGCCCGTCAGTTGCAGCTTACTTCGTGTGATTCAAGTGTCTGCCTGTCCACCCCATTGTTTGGGCAGCTTTCGCCAGGTGATCATCATCACGAACTCGGGTTTTGGCTGGGTGCACGAGACAGCTTTGCGCTTTATGCCCATGCTCCTCAGCCAAGGCCTCAGGGGCATCGTACCGGGAAGGACCGAGGATCAGCACAACGCTATCGTTAGACTATGTTCAGGCTCGTAGCGGGGATATGCCGGGATTGAAGCCAAAGACCAAGGCGAGCTCGAAGACATCCCAGTGATCAGCGCACGCGCGATATTTGAGCCCCTGGGTGTCCTGGAGCCTTATCGCTGGAAGGCTCGGTTCTGTGGAAGTTGGTCAGGGAATGCGCTCGCACAGATTTTTTCGAGGGTGTCCCAGAGGTGAGTTGTGACAGTGCACTGAACCGGGTTCCCTGATTAGACCATGCCCGAGCAAGATCATGCGAAACTCAGCTGATTTTCACATTTGCTGCAGCGCAGGTCCTATGCTTTCGTCGCATCGTAGACTGCTTTACGCCACGGCCTGAGTCATCAGATTGCCTTTTTGCGAACATGGACGCGCTGTCTTCATCCTAGCCATATCCTAGCCCATCCCAGCCCAGTCCTCCCCAAGGTTCGATGCTGCCGGGAAAACAGGCCCAAGCAGCTTGATCTCCATCGGCGATGGATGGCAGGAGCCGAGACCTCAGATGAGGGAGCAGCAGATGCACGGCTGGTGTTCTGAGAACGAGCCCAGGCGAGTGGCGGCTATGATGGCCGCCCAGGATACCGAATGAAGGGCAAAGTTGTATGGCAGTACCCTGCACTGGCATGTCGTCCCCTTGTCCGAGGATGTGAACTTGTCTTGCGTCAAATGCATCAAATTCTTGGAGCAGCCGGGTGTCCGGACCTTTCAGAAGGGCGACTGCAATGCATTGTATTCCTGGATGGCGTTCCAAAACCATCAGAAGGTCGACCAGCTAGCGCAGGAGCTTGACTTGTGCTCACAAGTATTCGAGGGCCTGGAACTCAATGTCTCAATGCAACTCAGCAGAACCTTGGCAGATTGTGTCCGCAGGTCTTGTGGGACACCCAAGTTGGGTTCTGCGCCAAGAACCCTGGAGGCTGGAACACCTCCAGCATTTATGGATGATGCAAGGTAGATGCCTGCTACAGTTACACGGAGGCGTGGGGAGCAGGCCTTACAAACTTTGAATAGCCAAGGCAGCTAAAAGGGCCATAGGACGTGCTGGAGAGCTCTGTAAATCACTGAGGATTGCAGTTGGAAGCACGAGCAGCTGACACCTCTGCGCTCGGTGGATCCTTCGCAGCTGCCCGCAGCCTCGGGAATCTGTGAAAGTGCTTGAGAAGTGGCATCATGATTTCGCAGTGCTGGCAGGGCATAGTTTCTCACGCTGCAACTTTGCACTCGCAAGGTGCAGGGAACAGTGGAGGTGGTTTCTACTGACACTGTCAGAGCCTTTCGAACACTGGTTGTCGGTTGTGACCCGTCAATTCATCTGCACTCTTTGCTGAGGTTGAGGACGCAGGCGAGAAGCATAGCCCATGGCATGTAGCAGCGTCAGACTGCTTGAAAAACAGATCCCGCTACCAAGCTAGGAAGGCCTATGACTGCTAGTGCTCATGGCCTCAGGGATGGAGCAGGGTGTCTCCAACTCGCCAAGCTCCGAGATCCCGTGCAAGTATTGCCCGCACTTCTAACTCTCCCTGGAAAAGATTCTCCGACCCGGCCAAGGGAAGCTCCTGTTGAGGCACATGACGGCGAAGCAGGTTTCCCAGAAGCTCAGACTTTCAGACTGCTAGCTTAGACCTGCTTGGTGAGAAGCGTGAGGCAAAGCCCAGCGATCCAGAACCGGAGCCGCCAGTTGCACCGGTCGTACGCAACAAGAGTTCGAGGCTCAGCGTCACTGGGTACTCGGACAGATTCGGACAGACTCGGACGACAGACGTTGAAGTTGGTAGCAGCATAGCAGCTGACTTGTGCTTGAGTGCTTCGGCTCTTTGAGCCTCCGTGCCGCCATGATCTACAGAGGGAGAGCTCAGAACCGGTTGTGGTCCTTGGGCCGAACATATCAGCAGTGCACCGTGCATGCGCAAGCAAGAAGAGGTGAGAGGTTCAGCGAAGAGTGCCCGCCAGCGAATCGCCCAGTGCAAGAGTATGCGTGGGGTGTGTCTCTGTGTCAGTTTCTTTCACAGCACCCGATTGACGGTTACAGCGTCCTTCTCTCTTCAACCTGATGTGGTCGGACCTTGGCCCACTGCTGCGTGGCACAGTCCCGCAGCCCGGCAGCCGAACCTTGCAACTTGCGAGGAACCTAGGCCTTCCGAAAAAGGGGGCCTACTAAGCTTGAACCTCGAAGGCAGTGGAAGGCAATGGGCAGGCCCCAACGCATGCTGAGAACCATGCCGCTCCCAAACCCACTGCAAAAAGAGTTACTGAGTGGGGAGCTCCACACCAGGCTTGGTAGGGCGGGATTTCCAAAAGTGCCAAAGCCGACAACCCCAACCCGCTTTTCAGTTTCTGCCTTTTCCGGAGAATTATCCCGTGCTCTATGCCTGAGCGATTCTCTGCGTACTCTGCGACATGTGTTGAACAGTTACGTGCACAAATGCAGATGGGAAAATTTTCTGGAACGAACTTGCCCGAGTCACCTGAGACACACGGCAGGCCGCCGCATGTACAAACGCTTTGGCATGCATGACGCATTGCTTCTGCATGCACGCATTGCTTCCCACAGTTGGTCGTGGAGTGGCTTGATCATTTTGCTTGATTCTTCGTGGAAACGTAACCCGTGTAACTTAGGATGCCACTGTTCGCACCCGTTCAAAAGTGATTTTTGCGTTGGCGATGTGGCTTTTCAAGATGCGCTGATCCCCCCGGAATGGGATGACTTCCGGCTGAGACTGTTGGTTGCAAGGCTTGTTATCCCGCTGCCGAGGTCGGAAGCGCGAACGTCGTGTTCTTCGCTGCAGGAATGGCAAGGCCGCAGCCGCTGGAACTTCTCCGAACCTGTGACTTCCCAGCCGAAACGCGAAATCTCGCTCCCGATTGACCTGCGCAGCGATCAGGCATCTTTGCTGGCTCGGGCAGGCAAAGTGCAAGCCCTGCCAGGGCGCTCAGGGGCTCAAGTACAGTTTCGAGGAGGGAAGCTGCTGCTTGCCCAAGGCCCTGGCACCAGCAGTACTTGACCATGTCTGTGCACAAGAAGGCCAAACGTCGCCTCAGTTTCAGTTGTTCTACGTTGTACCCGTAATTTGTTGTGTTATGTCCGCTATGACTGCACGCCCCACGCCTGCAATGCTGGAAGAGGTGGCATCAGCAGCAGTCCGTCGCCTCTGGTTTCAGGCTGACGCGATGGGTATCTGCTCTTCTCCAAGAGTTTCACAGGAACATCACGAAGTCGAAGCGACACGCCGTGGCAGGCACGGAAGAACAAGAAGTCCTGCAAGGCCTGGTCGGTGTAAATGGACTTCGACTGGACTTCGTGAAGAGCTGCAGCCGGAACATTGGGAAATGTTTTCTCACGAGTTGCTGGCAGACGCTGGCTTGCAGGTCCGCACGATGAAGGCCAGACTCTCAACTCTCGACAAGTGTTTCTCTGAGCCGGCAGCCGGCTTTGGTTTCGGGGACTCAGGCCAGCAACTTGGTGAAGTGCGACGGAGCGACCCTGTAAGCTGGCCACTCGGATTGGCAAGAAAAGGAAAGGCAAGTTGGTGCGGGTCACGGCTGGAAACCTGGTAGTGGTAAGACTCGGAGGCATGAGAACCACAAACATCTCGGATAACGCCAGGCTATAACAAGTTGGGGGTTCCATCGCAGTTTTGTTTTCTTTGCGCAAAGCAATGTCGTCCAGCCTGTTTCTGCATGGTCTGAATAAAACAATGAATGAGGACCCATGCCGGGCAAGTTTTCCTTGCTAGCGCAAGAATTGGGTACAACTTCTGACAAGGACAAGGCAGTTAGTTCCCAGCCAAAGGAATAAGAGCAGCCACAGCGGCACATGACCAGTATGGTTCGAAAAGAAGACAGATAACCCCGAGAACTTTTTTTAACGCGCGGAAATGGCTGGTAGCTTGTACAGTAGTTGCTGTGCGTGTATGTCGATGGCAGGAAACGGCTTCACCTTCGCCTCTTCTTGACACCATCGCCACGCTCTCCGATGTGAGTGTATGTGCTAAAGCGTTATGCGTTCTGATGTTTGCTGCCGACCCTCAGCGCACTTTCGTACATCATCGATGCACGATCATATCTGCACCGGTATGCGTACTCATACTGGCAAAGCAAGACTACGTACCTGTTCTCTGTGCAGCAGCTTTTGGCAAGACTCCCGAACTCAGCTTGGACAGAGTTGTTGCTCGGGCTTGTCTCAGAAAAAGTCAGAAAGCTCCAAATTATAAGCCAGGCCCGCGGCTGCCAAGTGCTCTGGCAGCAACACCGCGGGACCTGCACTATCCAGGGCATGCGCTGTTGTGTGACAGGTAGGCCTGCCCAGGAAAGCCTTACGACCGAAACAGGTCTTTGCATCAAGAGCAGCAAGAGGTTATTCAGGTTTGCCGTCGGCTGGCCCGGCGGGCATCTCAAGAATAAGTAAAGCAGTGTCCACAAGGCTAAATTTCACTGTTGCATCCCAACTTCTGCTTTTCTGATCTTGCTTCTTGCTACGTGTTCGCAATTGTAGTTGCTGTGCAGCACCTTGGTCCTTCTGAAAAAGGACGAGCTGCCAGGTCGACAAGTGCCACGACCACAAGTTTTTGAAAATTGGTAATCATCTGGTAATCCCAACTTTCCAAGGGTTTTCATACAATGGTGCAGTTACATTAAGTCATTAAGCATGATTCCGTATAGGAGGCACGTCGGCTGCATTGAACTCTGCTGTTGCTTCTGCCTGGAGTCTGCCCAGAGGCGGAGAGCAGACACCACTCTTCACACGGCTCTAGAACCGTGTGTTCGGCTTCTGCCTGGCCATTTTAGCGAACACCTCGGGCCGCAAGGGACAGTGAGACTCCGCCAAATTCCACCATTGGCTGCATGAGTGCTGCATGGCTCTTCAGGTGCAACATGATTTTTTGGAATCAGTGAATGCTCCACGTGATTCAGCTTTGTGTCTGGCGGTGCCAAGGCTGTGGACGACATGTCGTTCTTGCACTCTTAAACCTCTAGCATGCAGCAGGGTCCTGTGACCGACTGACTGGGGTTAGATGTCTGGAGCCTTTTTACCTCAGACCAGTTGTGCCGATTTTCGTCCCGCACATTCTGGCTGGATTGAAGCAGAATGTGTCATGTCATGCTGCGCCGCGCTACTGCCGAGAGAGCCAGCCAAATCCAGTCAGCTCATAGTCCCGTTCACAGCGAAGCCTGGATGTACCATAGTTTGCAATGTAATGTTTAGTCCGCTCATCGGCAGCTGCTGTGCAGTTGGCAGATCAATCGATCAACCAGCATTCCTCGAAGGATGCTGACCATCAATTTGCAAAGTCAGTATGTGTGTGCAGTCGCGTCGGTTTGTTGGTAGCCCATGTCGGTCCCGGTGGCATACAGTACCAATGACCTGGTGGGGCCTAGTGGTATTCCGTTTCACGTTCCGCTGTTTCCTGCATCCACATCTTTCATGCACTGTGCCAAGGAGGCAGCTGCCCCCTACGCTTGCAGCAGCCTGCCATGTCAAGGTTCCCGAAGAGCAAAGGCTTACAGAGTCCATAGTCTATAGGGATACCAAGGTATACCTAAAGGGATACCTAGGGATCTACAAGGCCTCTCGGGCCTCCAAGGCCCTCACATGCACCCTTCGCCCTAGCAGAACTTAAGCTTGGAACCAATGCTGAGCGCTTGACCGTACCCATTCCTAATGTCCTTGTGGCACTCCCTCCTAAGCTTGGAGAGGGGATTGAATGGGAGACGATTCAATTTTGGGCTCCCAGGACACGCCCAATATCGTTTCTGGTGTTTCGTTTGATTTTGCTTCCGGTTTTGATGCGGTTGTCATCTGCCTGGCTACACAGAGCGCCTTCGAGTACACATCACACAAGATTGTCATGTGCATGAGCTGTTGAAAAGAGCAGATAGAATCATATTTCCGAGGCGCTGAATGAAGCGTTTAGATGCTACGCAGCTGGGTGGTACCACTTGCGAGCATGCAAGAGAGCTTGTGTCTTGCCTCTTGGTGTCACTGCGTCACTTGCACGTTGCAGCAACAATGACCGCCAACAGCCTTCCTTCGAAGGCAGCTAAACTCCCGGCGCCACGCCAAAAGTGACGTTGTTGCCATGGTTCATTTTCATGGTGCGCCGGGGTCTGCCAAACAGCACGAGCACCTGGAACTCTTGTTGTTGCTGCAGCCACGAGGATCAAAGACTAGCGAGAATGTCCTGGCGAGCCTTGTTTCACGGAATTACCATCCCGGCCCTTGGCCTAGAGAGCAACACGTTGTGAGTTGGATCATCCTGTTTCAAAGACGTTCCGCTAGAAGGCCGATAAAGAACTGAGGGCAACCCGACAGAGTTGAGGGGAATGCGCCCATGCACGTAAGATGGTGTGAAGGAGTTGCTGGCGACAGCTGTGGTTGGTGTCGGCGGTGGCTACTACATCTTCTACCCCGCCATTCAGGCCAAACTGGCGGACATGAGTCATGATTCCTGGACAGCTGTTGACAGCGGCAAGCAGCCCGGTTTCAAGGACTTCAACCAGCGCCAGGAGGCTGTCATGGCTGAACGGCATCGGCGCGCGCAAGGCACGAACAGGGTAGAACCGCGCAGAGCCTCTCAGCATAATAAGACTGAGACAGTTTAGATCTCACAGGCTCAGCGGGCTCGGGCGACCCAAGCCCCGAAGGCGGCAGTGCCGGCAGCTCCACGCGCACTTTCCAGGCCCGATGTGGGGGGGCCGTGACGGGCCGTGACGGGCCGTGGGCTGATGTGGGCTGGAGACGGAGTGCCTGAAGCAGATGACAAGCACCTGTGAGGCAAGCAGCTCATTGGGACAAGCCGGTGCCAAAGATTAGCTGCCAAAAAAGATTGCAGGGATGCGCACGTCGTGGCATAGAGTATGCAGGCATCGTCTTTGCCGAAGCGGCGCTTGTTAACCGCTTGTTCGCTCTGCCGTGCCGGTTCGATTTGCCAGAGAATGGCTCACAAGTACAAGCATGGTGGAAGCAGTTAAGCAGAAGGAACAACAACTAGCCGTAACTAGCCTTCCTACTGCAAGAGGGCAGGAGGTTCTCGTTTCCAAACAGGCTCTCCCTATCGGAGTTTTGTCGCGGGCGATGGCGCGAGGCCTGGTCAAGCCAGAGTACCTTTGAAGGATCTCCCCGTGGTAATTACCCTGCAAAAGGTGGATGTGGCGTGCTTCAGGCCCGACTAGCTAGGTGTGTCGGCATATCCTTGCTGAAGTTGCCGTGGGAGTGCGTGAAGCATGAGAAGCTCGTCGTGAAGCTCTTCAGCGTCTCAGGAGATCACGGCCAGTGATTTGTCGGAGTCTATGCAGACCGTTGCCTCGACCGTTGAGCCCTGGAAGTGATGGCCCAAGAGTTCGTTGCAGTGCATACTGCATACATGGCATACATTGGATACACTGCATACCGCTGCTTCTCTTTGCATTGCATGCACCGCTCGTCCGCGATTTTTTCTCGCGGAAAAGCGTCAGCCAGGTCCGGAAGCTTTCGGTATGTGAAGAAATTGGAGGAGGCTGCCCGAAACCATGGGCGTGTGGCTCCTCCGCTGCACAGAAACCGAACGGGTCTACAAACACGTTATTGTGGGTGCCAAGAAGTCTTCGGCAGCTCAGGACATGATGGAAAACAGTGGGGGTGACGAGCTCTCCGTGGCTACTTGGCTCTGGGCTTCACATGGGGGCGGGCATTTTTGCTCCAATGTCACTCGTGTCTTCGAAGTTTATAGTCTGAGGCTGTCAAGAGGATGCCCAACAGCCACTTTGCTGAAAGTCTTTGATGCCAAAGTCTGACTCGTGCCGGGTCAAGACTCGGACCCGCATAGATTGACGTGGAAAGGTGTATTTGCTGCTCGTGCACATGTTGCGTGTTGGGCGCTTTGGGTTTGAGAGATGTTACTGTAGGAGACTGCATAGTGCAAGGTTGGATCCGATCCGGACCCACGGAGTTTGCTGAGAAGCATCCGCACGAATGCGAAAACCCGTGGCGCAACATCGGCATGTTAGCGGAACTCAAGAAGAAGGCTCTGCCCTGTTTGCGTGCCCGTGAGCTGGACATTGACTGACATTGACATGAAGATGCATGGTGATTGGCTGCAGGGCTACTCTGCTACTTGCGAGTTGCTGGGAGTTTTCCGCGATGAAGATCGCACGTATGTCGCATTCTGAGAGAGTACCAATGATCTTGTAATGTGGTCTGCGTGCGTCTGCAAACAGCTTACCAAATTCACAATTACTACTTAACTTGTCCTGGATGGCTTGGGTGGTAAAAAGGAGCTAGTGGGCTTTCACGTCACGCCGCAGGTAGTAACGACACTCGCCACTGGAGGTATGCGCTTTTCTGCTTGGCCGTTGATCAATCGCTCTTTTGCATGAAGTATGCTCGTGCCATTGCTTCGAGAGCCAGGCGACTTGTTTTCCTGGTGCGAGAGTCGTCCACACCCGACGTCAGATCGAGAGGTCCTCTCCGAGACAGAGCAATGGAGACCGAGTTAAGAGTTAGCGCAAGATTCTTTTTCAAGGACATTTCATGTTCAGATATGTTCAGCACGGTTCGGAAGCGTGTTTCTTCTCTCAAGTAGGGTTTCTGTCTCAGTGTTGTCAGTGCCCGTGGAGGTCGAGATGCTGCCTTTGGTTGCTCAGACTTTTTCCGCAGTGGAGTGGCTGCACACGTCAGGGGGACCCAGAGATGCTTTCCCATGCGAACTCGAAATTCACGCAGAGTTGAACTCCCCTAAGAAGAAGTCTAACCATGCAGAAAGGACATTCAACAAAGCGCGAGTACTGTATAGTACTGTATAGGCTGAGAGTACCAGATGAAAAGATGCCCGCATCTCTCCGAGGTTGGGGATAACGCATCGGGACTTGTCCCTGGAGAACATCTTGTTGACAGGTTTTCCGGGCTCGTGTTATTTGGGCATGCGAACCGCCTGTCTGATGATCTTTCTTGCTGAGGCCAGTAATGTTGATACGCATGCGCAGCAGGATTTCTGTCGCACTCCTGCAACACAGGTATGGCGGGGGTGAGGGGTGGGGCCGGGAGGGGGGGGGGCGGGGTGGGGAGCGCGCCGAGCTCGCTGAGTGTTCAGTTGCACAGTGTGGCTCTTGTGATTGCAGCTGTGCTGGGGGATGGCTCGACGGCAGGAGTTTGCTGCCAGATCGTTGAGTCTTTTCTTGATTCTTTCCAGTCTCTTCCAGTTATGTCAGGGCCCAGCTCTAATGCGTTGCACACGGTGAAGCTCATCGACTTCGGGATGGTCCACAGCTCAACCCAAAAATGGAGAGGTTTATTTGTATGAAAGACATTTCAATGCAGTGAGTCGGGGCAAGGTCCCACACCTCTCCGGAGTTGGGAAGGATGGTTCAGGTTCAGGTATAGTCGGGTCGGCCATGTTCTTTGGTCGGAAATCTCTTGCTGCACTATGCGCTTGGGTAGTCTGTCATTTGCATGTTCTGTGCAGAGCAGTTGGGTCCTGATAATATCACTGCAACGAGTTCCTGGCCCTGCGGAGTGCACACCAAAGCCTTCCTACGGCGAACTTGAACACCTACGTTGTGTAAACAACACGCATTGTCAAAGAGCACTCCAAGCGTTATTGCACGTTGCATGAACTCTAAAAACTTCAGGCTTTTGTGGGGCGGGTGTGCCCGCCGGTCACGTCACTGGGCCCAGGCCTGGGCCGGATCATTTCGTGTCATCCTGTGACCCCGTCACGTCAGAGCAGATAGAGCAGATGCCAGGCAAACCTTCCTACCAAGCTCCAGAACTCCATTTGCGTCGCCGCGCTCTCGGTCTGAGGATCGTAGCCAGAGCTCCAGATTCTCAAGTCTTGTTCATTGGTCCATACTCGTGACGAAGATATACGAAGATGGAAGTTTCGAGCTGGGACGTTTGCAGTCGACACTTTCTGCACACTTAAGAAAGGACCTCAGCCTTCGTGGTTTATATTGACTTCAGGGCAAGGTGCGCAAGTCGAGCTCGTGCTTTGTTGTCGAGACATGCAAGCCCTGCTATCCCAGGCGAATATGATGGCTTTCAAGCAGACTCTTTTGCGTTAGGTGTTGTGGTCTATGCCGCAGACCCAGATCCATGATGTATGATGTCTGCTTCGTGACACGAAGACAGTACATGTGTTTACATGTGTTTCCACCATGTGCAGATGCAGTGGATGGTCTGGGCCAAGGCCATGGCTGTGGGGAACTATCCATGGCAGTCGACCAAGCCTGGGCGATCGCGGATTTTCGATTGGGTGAGCTGTCGGAATCTGAGATCAGCGATAGCAGCGTAAGGTTCATCATGCACATCATGCACAAACATGCGGGAGTTTCTTGTAAATCGGGGCACAATGCGGTAGGTTAGCACCGTTGCGTTTGCACACTCCTCCATCATCGAGCCACTCATCCATCGAGTGGCTCGTGCGTTCGTCCGAGACTTTGGACGCAAAAAGAGCACAAAGGGGCTTAGGTGCCTGGCGTCCATGAGGCCCTACCGGGCCTGTTGGCCACATCTTTCGATTCCCCAAACCAAAACCTCCAAAATGCATGGGGGGTGGCCGGCCCCGGTTGAGGTCATGGTATCAGCCGGTATTTTCAGCGAAACGACATTGCCCGAGACCTACTTCCGAAGCAGAGTAAGGTTACTTGGCAAGCAGCTTGATGCGACGGTCTGCGTGCACAGTGCAGGTGAAGAACTTCTCCCCGGCTTTGATTGAGCTGATGGCTGAACTGCTGCAGCTGCTGCCTTCGCAGAGGACTGGCCTGGTGAAGACGAGGCCACGCTTTCGTTTTCAGCATTTTGGAATTCATCCCCTAGCTTGCAGAATCGTGTTTGTCTTGACGTGACGAAAGGACCGAAAACTCCCTGAACATGCCCACTTCCACGTGGATGCATGAAATATTCAGGGTCCAGGGTGTCTTTAGGCAGCATCCTGCGCAGAAGGTTTTCACAGTTATTCCGGAACCACGTGCGTTGTTTGCCATGGCTCAGAGGGCCGGGCTGCAGCCCAACGCTATCCAACAATGATCCCGACAGACCCACATGCAACTGACGGAAAGACCAAGAACTGGAAATCATGAGCACCGAAACCACCTCAGCACCAGACAGTCTGCATGAATTCTCTGGCAGAGGTCAAGTTCCTCGGAGGACGGGAGTTTGGCGGCGTTGCAGCAGTAAGGCTGAAGCACCCTTGCAATGCCCCCATCCCATTCAACTCTTGATGTCAGCAAGCTTTGTGTCTAGCTCGGGGGCTTGGCGGAAGTAGCACGCTTTGTGGCTTTGTAGCCTGTTAGTAGGCTACCTTGCTATTCGTGCGCAAACAGCTGTTGGAAGTCCTTAGTAAAGACCCCGAATCAGTTCAAAACCAGATGCATGTCACAGAAGCAGCGTTTCAGCACCTAGAGCCATGTCATGCCATGTCCACAACCCTGCTGGTCAGGAGTCCCAGCGCACAGTTTGGGATTGCAAATGGCTGGCGGCACCTGCAACTCAAGGCCTCCTCTGGTTGTTTCAGATTCGGCACATCCCGGCACAAGAATGAACCACGTGAACTAGCATGAACTTCAGTCGGGGCATTTTGGAGTCTAGGGAAGGCACAAGACCCCAAAGCGAACCCGAATGGAAGCAACTGAATAGAGATTCTAAAGTGGGTTTGCTGAACCGTTACCCCGCCTGCCCTACTTGGTCTTCCAGATTCTGCCTCACTTGCCCCGACATCAGCCGAACTTGACTTGGCGGCGGCATCATTTGCCAAGCTGTCAAACTGGCACTTGTCCCCACTTGTCAACTTTAACATACCGCTTGCTCCGGCCGGAAGTCTGGATCGTCAATCCCGAGGACCGGGAGAGTTCTGCCAAGAAGGAGAGAAAGGGGATGACGCAAGTGGGCCGAGAGGCAGAGAACAGTTGGCAGTGGCCGTACAGACTGGGTCGAGTGGGGCAAAACCAGATAGTGGGCCCCCCCGTGCACGCCCACTGGAATGTTGGTTGTACGGAAACTCATGAGCTTTCTAGAACGCAGGTTTTTAGCACATCCCGACTGACGACGTCAGTTCCTTTTCTTGCAGCATTCGGTAGAGTCAGTTAGCTAGATTTGTTTTCGCAAAGTTTACAGTTGCATCGCGACATGCAGGCAAATGGCGAGCAGTGTCCAGTACATCAGCCGCTTGGCCTTAAGATTAACCACGCATGCTGACCTCGATAGCTCTTCATGGTGAGTGCAGCTCTTGCCGGTCCGCGGCAACACAGTGTGCAATCAAGTGCAAGCTTCCTCCGCACTGTTGCCTGCGGGCAGCTTGTACCAGAGGGCCCTATGGCCCTGTGGGCTGTGCAAGCCCTCAATTCCAAAGTCGAAGATCGGCCTGTCGAACATGCCTCTCTAGGGTCGCGCGTCGGGCATGAGAGTCGATATGAGCATCGGACAAAACTAATGTAAATCCAATCTTGTGTTGACCCACCAAGCACGTTGCGCAACGTTCGGCGAACACAGGGTTTTGTCAGTCGCTCAAATGAATCCGGACTTGCTCTGTGCCGACAATGCCAAGGGCCTAAGCCAAGCCTCTAATCATGTACCTCCTTCCTGAGGAAGGACAAACTTTTCAGAAAGCCGGACGTTCGCAAATACAATTCTACTTTAATTTTGAGGGTTTATGTGCACCTGGTACTTTTGCGACGTACTCTGTGGCCTCAAAACCGACATCGAGGTCAGCACAATGGCCACCGAGACTGAGTCGGACGTAGAAGAGGCAACGGTCACAGGCTGCCCCGTGCGGGCCCAAGTTCGGCTTGAGCTTGGCGGTTTTTGAGGTGATGTTCGACGTTCGATGATGTTCGATGTTCACAGCTGTTCCCAGTTAGGGTACGGTTCTCTGTCAAACCTTGTCAATGGATTAGGTCACTCTGTCAGTTGGTCGTTTACGCACGCCTGGCCCTGGATCCATCAGATGTCGACAGTGATCCCTAAAAGTGGAAGCCTCAAACGCCATTCTGCACTGCCTTGGCTTCTCCGAGCGTGAGTGAGTATAACTCATAGCCTGAAGCGGGTAGTTAGGAGTGACATGTTCTAAGCGTCGCGTCCTAAGCTAGGCAAAAAAAAGATGGCTTACGTAAGCCCAAGACCGACTTCAAGGATGTAGATCAAGGCAGCTATGGGGTGACAAAAGCGCCCCAGAAACCGCAAGCTCCAAAATCTTCCCTTTGGTGTGAGGTAGATGTTAAAGTCGGCATGGTTCTTGGGGTTTCCCGGGCCGCTGGTCGCTGGAGTGCTCAACCTGATCCTGCAGAGAGTGCCCCTGGAGTGCACACTGCCGGGACTATCCCCGGACTGCCCGCCCCACTTTCTCTGGCCAGCTGCCCGAACATAGTTAATAGTCACCATGATTGGGAGTATTCCTGGAGCGCCTACCCAATTCCAAATGAACCGCGGAATGTCTCGGGAGAATCCAATCCCAGATGAAGCCTGCAGTGCCCACATGTTGCTTAGTTTTTCGGGTGGGGACGTTCGAAGTTCGAAGTAGTTGTTCTTTGTTGTGGCTTGACATCGAGGCATCCGATGAAGACTCGAGTGCCGCAGCCCCAGTGTACAGTTCTGACAGCCCGGCCGCCCGGCCTGTTCCTGGACTTCTCTCAGGTATGATCCAGGTGTGATCTGTGTATCTGCACGGCTCAGAGCCTGGACTGGCTGTGAGTTGTGCCTAGGCGCGGGCGCTTGCCAATGTCGTAAGCCACTTGCTACAGCGGGACTAAGTCGACGAAGTCTCGAAGGGCAGCTGTTGAAAGTTTAAACAAGAGTTCGGCATCCAGGAGTTGTGTTGATCCCATTGCCAATCATGTGGACATGTGTTCTGTTGTGGTTCTGCTCCTTGAAATGTGCTTCTCCCCTGCCAGGTTCCAAGGCCTATGCCTTCTTGTTTCGCACGGCCGACGACGCTTGGTTGCGCAGGGCACCTCTTGTGGTCGCTCTGGCTGGCAAGTCCTTTCTTCAATGTACAAGCCGGCATGACTAAGGTTGGTTTGTCTCTCCCACGGATGGGATCTCCCAGGCTGCAATGTTTGCACTGCGGCCCGGAGAAAGTGTGGAAGTCGACTAGGCGTTGGCATACATGCCCGGTTCTGAGGCTGTCTAAATAGGACATCCAAACTCAGCCTTGACAAGAGCAATTACAATGAACAGACCCTTTTGGCATGTCAACATATGTGTATATATATATATATATGGTACCAATATATCTCTATGTGAACGGCCTCATAACCAAGCCATAGATTTGCCATGCCTGCTGATGCATAAGTGTACCTAACAGATTCCAAGTGTTGGGGCGAATGTGGTGTTGTGCATCAGTCATGGCGATACTTTAGCTCCCCAGCTGGTCGTACGAACCGGTTGCCAGTGGGACCACGTACGGTGCGTGGACTCCTGCAGAGTCACGCGATTTCATGGCTGGCCATGTCCACATGTGCGCGTGTATGGGGAGGGTTCCAGCACCCAAAGTTGACCCAGCTTCCTTCTGGGACTGACAGAAGCATAAAGAATTGTGTTGAAAGCATGGCACTAGTCCATCCGACCAACCACATGTGCCGTAGTCTAAATGCCTAAGAAGTCCTGGAGAGATGCTGGATGGGTTGTCGCCAAAGGCAGCACAACCTAAGTCTTGTGACGAGACAAGCGCCTCGATGAGGTGGGTGATTTCTCCTTAGTGTCTGGCTGTGTGAGGCCGCTTGAGGAGGGGACAATCCACCATCCCAGGCCGTGGGGGTTTGTGCTGAGATGCGCCAATGTGTTCGGGAGCAAGCCAACAGGCCCCGACAGTGTATCATTGCGCCGTGTGGCATGAGTGTCAACACCATTCTTTGCCACTGGCACGTTGCCATGCACTCGCGCTAGGGCTCTAATACATTCTGTTCAAAGCTGTGGTAGTGGTTGCTCAACCTGCGGGCTGAACTACGAGGCCTGGCACATAGCCTAGCTATGCCTAGCTCATCTGTCAGGCCTGTAAGCGTAGCATGGCACTTGCGATCGGCCGCGCGATTTATGAATTCAACATCACGGCCTTCGCTCTGGTAGAGGTGTGTTAATCTGATAATTCGAGCACGGGGCCAGATCTGACTTCATGGCCTCAGTTGCCGCCTCTTTGCCGTCCGATGCTCGGCCATTATCACTAGCTGGCACGATTGTCCTTGAGAGTCTGTGGCATGGCGCAGCAGAGGGTGCTGTAATGTGCTGCAGCATGTCATTTGCTTAAGTGCAGCAATTTCCAAGTTTCGACTGAGGTGACTTTCAGCTGCTTTTCCTTTGCGCTGAGGTGTAGGAGGCCGGGCTCTGGTGGCCATGCGGTTATGCGAAAGCTGGGGCTTCGGAAGAAAGCTGAAGACAGTCTGCTTTATCTGCTTGTCAGAGGTACCAAAGAAACCTCGAGCTCTTGCAGGGCATCGCCGCAGAAAATATGTGACAGAAGCGCCGCTCGGCTGCTGTATTGAGCACCTTTGATGGCTCTACTGATTTTATCGGTTGTGTGATGCCCCTGAGGACTGCGCGCGTGCCTTCGGAAGAAGTTTTGACCGTACAGTTCTTGGAAGAAGAAGAAGTTGATTGTACAGCAGGGCAACCGCCTTGCAACTCTGCACGGTCGCCTTCAATTAGGCAGAATTCGGGAGTGAGTGTTCCGGGCGAGTGGTCGTAAGGCAAGTTTGTGCATGAGAGGTGCGCGGACGGACCAAATAGTATCATTCTCAGCTGAAGTCTTATCTGTATCTCACCGGGTGAGAGGCATGCAAGGGTCGCCAGGGTTTTCAGTCGGCTGCAGCGGGCCAGCAGACATGCAGGAAGATGTGGAATAAGCCACCCAGCACTCACAGTGTTTGCAATGACACGAAGTGGATGGTGCTTTATGAAACCTGGTGTTTGCGAGGCTGTGAGAGTGATTTGCTTGGCTGCTGTGTGTGCTTCCTCTATTCCCATGCTTGGGCCCCAAAAAAGCCAACAACAGCTTAGCGCGGTTCAGTTAAAGGGTCCCGGCAGCTAGTGGCGATTGTTGTTGATGCGAAAGCCGAATTGCTCATTCAGTTCATGGCGAACATGCATGACTTGTCGTATGATTTGTATGTGAGTCCATGGGCTTGGTAAGAATAGTGGGCATATCAGCCACTCGGTGCACATCAGCCACTCGGTGCACTTCCCAGTCAGAAACACACACACACACACACACACCTACACCTACACCTACACCTACACCTACACCTACACCTACACCTACACCTACACCTACACCTACACCTACACCTACACCTACACCTACACCTACACCTACACCTACACACACACACACCAACACACACACATGCCTACACACACCTACACACACCTACACATACACACGCCTACACACGCCTACACACGCCTACACACACACACACACACCTACACACACCTACACACACACACACCTACACACACACACACACACACCTACACACACACACACACCTACACACACACACACACCAACCTACACACACACACACACCTACACTACACACACCACACCTACACACACACCTACACCTACCACACACACCTACACCTACCCACACCTACACACACCTACACACACACCTACACACACCTACACACACCTACCACACACACCCTACACACACTACCCACACACCACACACTACACACACACCACACACACACACACTACACAACACACACACTACACACACACACCACCTACACCTACACACACACACACACCTACACACACACACACACCTACACCTACACACACACACACCCCTCTACACACACACACACCCCTCTACACACACCCCCCTACACACACCTACCTACACACACCTACCTACACACACCTACCTACACACACACACCTACACACACCTACAAACACCTACAAACACCTACAAACACCTACACACACCTACACACACACACACCTACACACACACACCTACACACACACACACACACCTACACACACACACACACCTATACACACCTATACACACACCTACACACACCTACACACACCTACACACACCTACACACACCTACACACACCTACACACACCTACACACACCTACACACACCTACACACACACACCTACACACACCTACACACACCTACACCTAACACCTACACCTACACCTACACCTACACCTACACCTACACCTACACCTACACCTAACACCTACACCTACACCTACACCTACACCTACACCTACACCTACACCTACACCTACACCTACACCTACACCTACACCTACACCTACACACACACACCAACACACACACCTACACACACACACATGCCTACACACACCTACACACACCTACACATACACACGCCTACACACGCCTACACACGCCTACACACACACACACCTACACACACCTACACACCCCCCTACACACACCTACCTACCCAACGACCTACCTACACACACGTACCTACTACACCCAACCCCTACACACACCTACAAACCCTACAAACACCTCACACACACCTACAACCCTACACACACACACACCTACACCCCACCCACACTACCCACCACACACACACCTACACACCACACACACACCTATACACACCGATAACAACCACCTCCACACACCGACACACACCGCACCCACCTACACACACCTACACACACCTACACACACCTACACACACCTACACACACCTACACACACCTACACACACCTACACACACCTACACACACACACACACCTACACACACCTACACACACCTACACACCTACACACCTGCACACCTGCACACCTGCACCTGCACCTACAAATTGATGGGCAGAATGAGCCTAGGCATGAGAATGGTCTTCTTGTCCTGCCAACTTCTGTGCCAAGCTGCGGACTTCGAAGATTCGATCAGTGCCGATGTCGCCTTTGTGAAAAATGCCTGTTTCCTTCGCCGCGGCTTTCGCATCCGCCATGGTGCAGACTTTTTCCGTCTCGCACAGTGTTGGTTGCAAGATGATATATCCTCATTCCAGAATTTTGCGTATGACATATGCTGTTGTGATGAATGGAAACGATCTTACCGATGTTGGACGGAAACGCCTGCCACGCAGCCTCGTCAGACGTTTCGGTACCAATGCTGTGCGTACCTCTACGGCCCAGGCACACCTTGTCTGAACCGTGCGCGAGATACCCGTCTGCAATTCCCGGGACTGCCTGTGCTAAAGGTTCGGCTTGTTCCATCAGACTTCCCATATAGGAGCTACTTTCCAAACCTGCTAACGGAAGCACACTTGCTGGAGCCTTTGCATGGGCAGAATGGTGCCCCTGGCCCGACGCTGTGTGTTGCCGACATTGGTGCTGGCAACGGTGTAGATTCAGTGGCCCTGTCCCTGATGGGTCATGTCGTGGTTTCGCTAGAGCAGAATGCACGAGAGCTCCAGTTGCTCAAAGCAAATCGGATGCTGAACAACGTGTCGTTCGAAATTGTCTCTGGCGATTTCACCATGACCAACCTCACCGCAGCATCACTGCTTGAAGCCAACGGCGGGCAACCATTCGACGTGATTGTCGCCAATTCCCTCACATATCTCCCACAGGAGGTTTTTTTTGGTTTGCTCGACTTGGTGGAGCGCGTTGGAACCCAAGATTTCGTGTGGCTTTTGATATGTGGCCGAGAAGTCTATGACCTCTTCGATACTCAACGGGCCAATCGTGAGCTTGCCATGTCTCGCTTCGAGCTGGTGGATGCAGTCACCTTTGCCAACGTCGGCAACGCTTTCGATTACCGGGTACAGAATGGTCAGCTGAGGCTTTGTGCTCTGCAAAGGCGTGGGCGCTCACCAAACGCCTGGCGGTACCGCTGGCCTCGTGCACGTGCAAACGAGATTGTACCCCTAGGGCCATCATGCAAGCCACCGTTGTGGAATTGCTCGGCAGGTGCTTTCCTTTCTGTCATGTAATCAGCTCGAAGGGTGCTTTTGCAATTCCTGCCAAGCACGATGAGGCAGAGGCCGTGAGGACCATGATGGACCATCCTCTCGATTCTGGAAGAACATCGACCTGCACGTGCTGCAGCGATTGTCCTTAAGGCAATTGCAACACTGGAGCTTTGGCGGCTTCCTTGCTTGCACTCTCCACGTCCCTTTCGAAGTGAGCACACGGCACCATGCATGCTGCCTTTCGCTTAAAACTTAAAACGCAAAGAGCAACACAAGTCAAAAGTTTTGGGGCTTTGGCAGGGCCGAACTACAGGGCACATCCGCTGCTGTATGCTGCAGTCGCGCACCTATGATTTCAGCTTCCTGGCTTCTTAGTGCATACTCCTTTCCTGTGGGACCGAGAGGCCGATAGGTAAGTGCTTGTTAGAGAAGGTAGAGGGAGGAGCACCATGCATCGAAGAACAGGGCACGGGCAAGTCCTTAATTGCAGTGAACCCAGTGTAGATTGACGTCTCCATGGCTGCGCGGCGAGCAAGCCGAAATCCTCGTCAAGTGGCTGGGACCTTCGGGTGCCGAATGTGTCTCAAGACTCTCAAGACACGAGATGGAAGTTGATGGGCCGGGATATCAAACTTGCATTTTTGCTCTGGTCACTTTTGTGCTGCGCTTCAGACTTCGAAGACTCGATCAGTGCTGACATCGCCTTTGTGAAAAACTCCTGGCTTTGGCGACGTGGCCTTCGCTTGCGGCACAACGCAAACTTGTTCCATCTCGGAGGCTGTTGGATGCACGACAGCTTGGTCCAGTACAGAAATTATCCGTACAACCATTGCTGTTGTGATGAATGGAAACGATCTTACCGATGTTGGACGGAAACGCCTGCCACGCAGCCTCGTCAGACGTTTCGGTACCAATGCTGTGCGTACCTCTACGGCCCAGGCACACCTTGTCTGAACCGTGCGCGAGATACCCGTCTGCAATTCCCGGGACTGCCTGTGCTAAAGGTTCGGCTTGTTCCATCAGACTTCCCATATAGGAGCTACTTTCCAAACCTGCTAACGGAAGCACACTTGCTGGAGCCTTTGCATGGGCAGAATGGTGCCCCTGGCCCGACGCTGTGTGTTGCCGACATTGGTGCTGGCAACGGTGTAGATTCAGTGGCCCTGTCCCTGATGGGTCATGTCGTGGTTTCGCTAGAGCAGAATGCACGAGAGCTCCAGTTGCTCAAAGCAAATCGGATGCTGAACAACGTGTCGTTCGAAATTGTCTCTGGCGATTTCACCATGACCAACCTCACCGCAGCATCACTGCTTGAAGCCAACGGCGGGCAACCATTCGACGTGATTGTCGCCAATTCCCTCACATATCTCCCACAGGAGGTTTTTTTTGGTTTGCTCGACTTGGTGGAGCGCGTTGGAACCCAAGATTTCGTGTGGCTTTTGATATGTGGCCGAGAAGTCTATGACCTCTTCGATACTCAACGGGCCAATCGTGAGCTTGCCATGTCTCGCTTCGAGCTGGTGGATGCAGTCACCTTTGCCAACGTCGGCAATGCTTTCGAGTCTGATGTTCAGATGGGCCAGGTCCGCGTTTGTGCTCTGCAGCGGCGTGGGCGCTCACCCAATGCCTGGCGGTACCGCTGGCCTCGCGCACGTGCAAAGGAGATGGTGCGCCGAGGGGCAGCATGCAAGCCACCGCTGTGGCGGTGCTCGGCAGATTCCTTCCTTTCTGCGACCTGAACGACGGGAAGACCTTGTGTCATTAGACTACCGTCGCGTCCGGCACATTCCAGTTTCTTTACATGCTCTTGGCGAGATGCTGGCTGAGACTGACATGGACTGACATACCAACGCCGGCGACAGGGAAGGGGGGCAAGCAGACAATGAGTGTATTCCCTGCAGTGCGATGTTACTATCAGCTAGGCGGGCGGCAAAAAAGAAACAAAGTGTTTTCTGATTGGGGTTCGAGCTGGAGCCTTGCGAAATGATGGCTTGGGGTAAGGGGGGGTATAGGGGGGGTACGAGGGGGGTATTAAAGGGGGGGGTAAAGTGGGGGTCGGGGTAATAAAAAACAAAAGCAAAAAAAAAGGAGGGGGGGGGTAAAATGGTGGGGGTAAATGGGGGGGGTAGGGGGGGTAAGAAAAAGGGGGGTGGGTATTAAGGGCGGAAGGAAGGGGAAGGACGAGGGAATAGAGAAGAGGAATAGGAGGGAGAGGGAGAAAGGTGGAGTGGGGAGGAAGGAAAAGGGGGAAGAGTAGTGGGAAGAAGGGGAGTAGGAGAAAGAAGAGGGGGGGGTGAAGGGGTGGGGGTGAGGGGGGGGTAAGGGGGGGGGGGTGAAAGGGGGGGGTAATGAAAAGGGGGGGGGTAAGGTGGAGGGGGGGGGTAAAGTGGGGCTGGTAAAAAAATCAGGGGGGGGGGTAAGGGGGGGGTACGCAGGACGGGTGGGGTAGGGGGGGGGGTTAAGGGGAGGGGGGGGGGGGGTAAGCGGGGGGGGTAAGGGGGGGGTGGTACATGGGGGGGAAGGGGGGTAATGGGGGTAGAAGGAGGGGGGGTTACGCGGAGTATGCGGGGTAAAAAAGGGGGGGGTAAGGGGGGGTAAGGCGGGGCAAGGCGGGGCAAGGGAGGGAGGGGCAGTCCCCCCCCTATTCGCAAATGCAACACACGCATGATGGGTTCGAATTAGAAAGCGTTTGCAACTACAATGGTGGGTTTGAAATCATGCCTGAAGCAAGCTTGAACGACCTTGCACGGCTTAACAAGCGGAATCGGGATGGATAGACCCCTACCAGAAAAGGAGAGGGGTCTATGCCCCGGATAGGGGTCTATGCCTAGGATCTGCCCCATTGTGTATAGACCCTATCCTGTGCATAGGTACCTATCCGTACCACACACCTAGAGGTCTACGATGTTCTTACTCGCCGAGACCACCTCCCGAAGCCGGTCTGAGCAAAGCTTCCATTAGGGCTGAGGGTTTCAGGGTCAGGGTTTCAGGGGCCCTAGATTCCAAGCCCTCGACCCCCCCTTACCCCCCCTTACCCCCCCTTACCACCACCCCCCTTACCCCCCCCCTTACCCCCCCTCTTACCCCCCTTACCCCCCCCCTTACCCCCTACCTTCCCGTCAATAAACCAACTTCCCCTGTGCCCCCCCCTTCCCCTTCCCCCTCACCCCCCCCCCCCCTTACCCCCCCTTACCCCCTACCCCCGCTTGTTCAGCCGTGCAAGCTTGCTTCAGGCATAATTTTTTCTAACCCATCATGCAATCATTGTGTTTGCAAATGGGCCCCGCCCGCTTTATTTTCATTCGAACCCATCATGCGTGTGTTGTGTTTGCAAATGGGGCCCTGCGTGTTAAGCTGTGCAAGCTTGCTTCAGGCATGTTTTAAAACTCATCAGGCGAACATTGTGTTTGCAAATGGGGGGGGAGCTGCCTCCCCCCCAACCCCCCCGCTTTACTCTGTTTCGAACACATCATGTGAGTTGCACATGGGGGGGGGGGGGCTAAAAAGCCGTAAACCCTTAAAACCCCTAAACTGTAAAAACCCTAAACCCTAAGAACCCCAAAACCCTAAACACCAAAAAGCACCTAAACCCTAAACCGTAAAACGCCCGAAAACGCCCCAATACGTAAACCCTAAAAAGCCTTAAATCCTAAACCCTGAAAACCCCTAAGCCCTAAACCCTCCGAAATCCTAAACCCAAAAACCTATACGGGTGGAAAAAACCTCTGAACCCAAAAGCCCCCTGAGCCCTAAACCCTTGTGACCCTAACAAACACACTAAACCCTAAACACCCCCGAGCCAACAATCCCTAACAACCCCTGAGCCCTAAACCCAAAAAGCCCTAAAGCCTAAACCCCTAAAGTCTAAACCCCAAAAACCCTAAACCCTGAAAACCACTAAGCCCTAAATCCTGAAAACCCCTAAGCCCTAAACCCTGAAAACCCCTAGGCCCTAAACCCTTAAAACCCCTAAACCCTAAACCCGAAAGACCCCTAAGCCCTAAACACTAAACCCGAAAGACCCCTAAGCCTAAACCCTAAACCCTAAACCCTAAACCCTAAACCCTAAACCCTAAAACCTAAAACCTAAAACCTAAAACCTAAACCCCAAACCCGATTATGGGCGGATTTCAAATTCAAAGCAGATTTAAATTCGAATTTAAGCCTTCTGCTTGCGGGGTTCGGGGTCGCCTCTGGAGAGCCTAGATTTGAATTTAATCCTTTTCGGTTGTAGAGGTTTAAATTCGAATTTAACTCCATGTTCTTCCTCCCCCGCCCTACAAAGGAATTAAATTGTAAACGCTTGCGCGCGCCGCCTCGGCAGCCGGGCCGGCCAGGACAGGAAAGGAGGAAAGAGGGTTTCGCAAAAAAAGGGGAGGAAGGGCAGCGAGGTCAAAGCGGGGGGGGGGTGGGGGGGGGGGGGGGGTGGGGGGGGCTGGGGGGGGTGGGGGGGGGGGTTTTTGAGGCACTCCCCCTGTAGGAGCCACCGACAGGCGACCCTCCACGGCATCGGTTTGCAGCTCCTCCAAGCGATTGGGGGGGGTCCCACAAAAAAGGGGGGTGGCGTCAGAAAATCTTGGAGGGGGGAAGGGTTGGGTTAGGGGGAAGGAGGCCCGATCCGGGTCTGCTTGTTCCAGACGCTTCTCGGCAGGTAGCCGAGGCGAATTCGAATTTAAGCCTGCCTGGGTTTTCAGGGATTTAAATTCAAATTTAAGCCCAGTACCCATGCAAGGCTTTAAATTCGAATTTAAGCTGAGACTGCCCTCTAGGTTTAAATTCGAATTTAACAGCTCTGCAGTCTCCTCTTGTCCGGGTTTAAATCCGAATTTAACAGCTGTACAGTCTCCTCTTGTCCGGGTTTAAATTCGAATTTAACAGCTCTCTAGTCTCCACTTGTCCGGGTTTGGATTCGAATGTAACCAGGCCCAATGCAAGTCGAAAGCCTCCTAACCCCCCGTCGCCCTGAATCTTCAACCTGAACCCTAAAGCCCAAAGACCCAGACCCGATAATTTGAGGCCCAATCGCCCGAAACCCCTGAACCCTCTCGAGGCTGAAAAGGCCTTCAGCCCGAAGGACCCAGGCCCAACGCAAGTCGAAAGCCTCCTAATCCCGCCCAGCAGATCAGACCGTCAGACCCTTAGATGACCCGTGCCCCAGACCCGTAGACCCGACCCTTTACACACTTCGACCTTCACCCTGACACCCAACCTCACCCGTAGACTGCAAACCCTTGGACGCTTTAGACTTTAGACCCTTCGACCTCCACCCTGAGACCCTCTAGACCCGCAGACCCCCAGACGGCATCTGAGACCGTCAGACCCAGAAAAATTGAAGCGCTTGGGCCCGTAGACCCTTCAGCCAAAGACGGTTAAAATTCAAATTTAAGCCATGACCCAGAAAAGGGCATAAATTCGAATTTAAATCCTTCTCGTGGCGGGTCCTGGCGGCTGCTGCTTGGTTCAGAGGTTTTAATTCGAATTTAAGCCGTCGGGACGCGGGGGCTGCGCCCAGCCCAGGGAGGGCTTAAATTTGAATTTAGTCCTTTTTTGAATTCGAAAACCGGCTTCATCCCCCTAAACCCTAAACCCTAAACCCTAAACCCTAAACCCTAAACCCTAAACCCTAAACCCTAAACCCTAAACCCTAAACCCTAAACCCTAAACCCTAAACCCTAAACCCTAAACCCTCAAACCTAAACCCTAAACCCTAAACCCTAAACCCTAAACCCTAAACCCTAAACCCTAAACCCTAAACCCTAAACCCTAAACCCTAAACCCTAAACCCTAAACCCTAAACCCTAAACCCTAAACCCTAAACCTCTCTACCATACAACCCTAAATGTTAAACACCAATTGGAGAATTTGATCAATTTCTTTTTTTTTTCACCCCCCGTTGTTCAGCACCAATTGGAGAATTTGATCCATTTCGACCCCTCCGACCCCTTCGACCCCCCATTGTTCAGCACCAATTGGAGGATTTGATCCATTTCGACCCCTCCGACCCCTTTGACCCCCCCATTGTTCAGCACCAATTGGGGAATTTGAATTGGAGAATTTGATCCATTTCGACCCCTCCGACCTTTGTTTCAGGGCCTCAAGGCCTGGTGTTTAGGGTTTCAGGGCCTAAAGGCCTAAACATAGGGTTTCAGGGCCCCAAGGCCTGGTGTTTAGGGGTTTCAAGGCCTGGTGTTTAGGGTTTCAGGGCCTCCAGGCCTGGTGTTTAGGGTCCTGGCGTTTAGGGTTTCAGGGCCTCAAGGCCTGGTGTTTAGTGTTTCAAGGCCTCACGGTTTCAGGGCCTCATTTAGGGTCTCACGGCTTTCAGGCCTCAAGGCCTGGTGGTTAGGGTTTCAAGGCCTCACGGCCTGGTGTTTAGGGATTCAGGGCCTCAAGACCTTGGCGTTTAGGGTTTAAGGCCTCACGGCCTGTGTTTAGGGTTTCCTCACGGCCGGTGTTTAGGGTTTCAGGAGGGCCTCAAGGCCTGGTGTTTAGGTTTCACGGCCTCACTGGTGTTTAGGGTTTCAAGGCCTCACGGCCTGGTGTTTAGGGTTTCAGGGCCTCAAGGCCTGGTGTTTAGGGTGCTTAGGGTTTCAGGGCCTCAAGGCCTGGCGTTTAGGGTTTCAAGGCCTCACGACCGGGTGTTTAGGGTTTCAGGGCCTCAAGGCCTGGTGTTGGGGTTTCAAGGCCTCGCGGCCTGGTGTTTAGGGTTTCAGCCTCAAGGCTTGGTGTTTAGGGTGTTTAG